ATCATCTGGAGGTTTTGAAAAAAAATCTGTGATTAGAGGCGGACTAAAACTTGCTTTTTGTCAATTGTCGCTACACACTCATGAATGGGCACAGTAAGTTTAACCGTGGTATCAAATTATGCTTTCAAAATCATTCTTCAACACAAAATTACACAAAGGTGGGAGCGCGTTTAAATCATGCATTTATTCGTTTTATATAGTATAAGTGAGATCAAAAATTGGTGTAATGCTGTGTCACGAACGTCAAGGTCAGTGTGCTGTATATGTGAAATACTCAAGGAGCTTATTGAAATTATGGATATTGAGGCAACTTCAACTCTTAGGGATATCATATATGCGTGTATGTACATAATTTTAGAATTAATAATTATAGCAGAAATGGTTTTGAATTTTAAACGTACATATCGTTTATTGCTCATTGAAACACAACAGCATATCTTCAATTATGTATCGATTGAAAATAGGGCAAATTTTTTTAGTGATTCAGAAAATGTTGATTGAATTCGAGCATCATTAAAAAATGCAAAGTTATTTTTTTTTATTTCAGGATTATGGGTTCATTTTAGATTGTGTTCTTTGTCTGAAGTCTTATTAGCCCTTAACTTTAGGATAGGCAATTTTTATGACAAAGAACCGGTTACTATTGTTAGACTTCTCATTTATAATTTTCATTTCTTTCACGAAATCGCTTTGAAAAGAAAAAATCGACAAGAAAACTAATCTATTCGTCTTTTATGAGGAATCGATTGTTTTTTTTTAGCAACCGACGACATCTTTTCTCTCTTTTAAATAAACGTTTAAATTGCTGGATGGGTTGGATACAAATGTAAGTGTGGGTAAATGCTATGAATTGTTGGGAAGAATATTTCATAAATTTCTTGTACAAATTTTTTTTTCGTTGCAAATATTTAATAGATATTTCGATTTTTTTTAAAGCGAAAGTATTTCTTAAATAATTTCCTTAGAAATGGGAGAAGAAGGAAGGTACAATCTGTAATAGCGTCATTACTCATTACATAAATCCTCTTGGGTAGGCGAAAGTAATTAAAAATCTCATTGATGAACCTAGAAAGAACAGTATCACATTATATAAACTCTATTTTCCCTTTGCAGCAATTATTTTTAGTTGTGGTACCTCAGGTTCTTAGCTGAGGCTTAAGAATCAATCAAGGATGATTGAGAGTAAAAAAAATTGCAAGAAAGAAGAAAGAGAAAAAATTCATAAAAGTGAATATTATTACAGCAAAACACATTTTCGTAGTTGTGCAAATGTTTTGGATTCGATACTTCTGACTTTAGAATCCTTAAAATTTGTCTGTTCAATTTTTTTCCTGAGCTTGAAGATCCTTGGGGTAATTTTTGTTGTTTATGCCCCTCATTTTTTTCCACCATTTCTTGCGATTATTTTAACCTTTGCTAGACTTGATGCAAAAGTGACGTTAATGATCCAAATGGCTGAAAAAGGTCACCTGTAATATTATATTTGGAAAACCATTAGGATAAAATATAATACAAATGAAATTATTTTTATAGAAATGTAATGTCTATAAATTTCTAAGATAAAGCTGGAATATCATCCGTATAAACGTATATGTGACACAGAAATCGAGTGCAGCGCTGAGAAAACTGGTTCTAGGTTACAGAATAAATTGTAATTGATATTTTAAAAAAATTTTTGAAAAATATTTCAATTTCTGTTTCAAAATAGATTTTCAAAAGGGAAAATTAGTATAAATCATACATGTCTCTTGAAAAATATGAAAATGAAAGAACGACCTCCTTTTCAAGGTGATCTTTTACAACAACTTTCCAATGAATACGAAACGACAAAAATGGGGGGTTGTTTAAAGGGATGATAAGAGACTGCTGTAACTGCTATTAGTTTATCAATTTGTTAAGGCAGGCAAATTAGAATTTTTTTTCTAGATTGAAAAGTCATTTCTTTTGTCTTAGGTTTTTTCGGTGAAATACGAATGAATTTTACAAGATACATTGAATTCTATTTAAAATTGAATTTTATGAGTAAGTGATTTTCATACATATATTTTGTCATTTGGAAAGCAACATTTTGCATCTTTATGATCTAAGTTGAATGAGAGAACATGTTGTGACAAAATAGGCTGATGTGGAATTTTCTGCAAATCTCTTCCACACATGATTCTATCTTTTCATTAATTGATGTTTTTGTCTATCGGACTTGGCGCCGTCATCATTTTTGTTATGAGCTGAGCTTCATCGCACTTTTTAATGCTTTCTTTTTGTGCTCTATTCATGATATAAATCAACATCCCCATTTTAATGCCAACAATTTTTATTATGAATGGTGCATAATAAAAACTGCTGTTGGCACTGCAATGGGGATGTTGATTTATATCATGAATGTAAGTATTGACAGCAATTACTCGTTTGTGGATTCAGTTAAAACTAAACAATGACATTTCTGATCAGCAACAGAGGAGGATAAGGAATTGATAATATGACTATTGCTCAGGGTTGGGAAGCAAACGTTGATACAAGTGAGGTCAGTCAATTGGATACTAATATGTGATAAGGTAATGTGGAGATCAGAAGTGATTATACTTAATAATGTAATTAATGAAGTGAAATGATTATCCTTGCCAGCTGGAAGTGATTTATCTGATGAAAAAGAAGCATAATTTGTCTGCACAGCATCTCTTAATATAAGAGTATTTAATAATAATCAATGGAGAGCTAATATTATCGAAAAAAAGTCCATAAATGAAAGTTAAAGCATCTCTGCTTTAAAATTTAATTTGAAGAAATTTTTTTTGTTATAAAAGGAAACAAGTATTGGAGCATGTAATTAGTGTTGAGGACACATCTGCACAACATCTGTTACAGTAAGGGTACTTGAGAATAACCTATGGAAAGCATATTATTTAGCTGCAACGACTGTACATTAATTAAACTAAAGATTACACTACGTGATAATGTAATTTTACAAGTCTTATTCAGTTCTTTAATGTGTTTAAGACCTTTGAGAGATTTTAAACAGATTGGGGTTTGCTAAACTCTTCGTTTTTAACAAAGGTCTGTTCATTACGTTAATTTCTTATATGATAAATTTTTATTATAATCTCATGAAAATCAGCGAAAAGTTGGAATGAAGTAACTATTTTAAACAGTTTTTTTGCAAGCCGAGTAAAGTCCTATCTCTAAAAGATTGTCAGGAAGCTAAAAGTCTCCTAAATCATTATTAGCAATGTAACGAACAATAATCATTCAAAGGTATAATCAGGAGCTGCAAAGGATGTTCAGAAATCAATTGAAATAGCTAGAATTTTGATTTTATATAAGCACATTAATTTATTCATTTGGATATTTTAAGATTTCGTTTTTCTTTTCAGATCGTTTTCTTGCGTTTCATTTCACGGAGGAACCTACAAATACGATAGCAAAAGCTGGACGAATAGAGCTAAATTGTCGATATGCCGTGTTGATGAAGAATATTACGTCTCGCATAGAATGGCGGAAAGATGGTGCGGAGCTGGGTACATTACGATTTACAGGAAAAGTGTAAGTTATATTGAATTATACTTTATACACACATCTAAAATTAATCTTACAAGCTCCTTTGCATCGATTGGAATGAGAATTGATGACATTCTTAGTTGGTACTAATTAATAAAATATTTTATTCCTTTGACTTTCTAAATTTTCTGAAATTCAACTAGAACAGAAAAGCTATTACAAAAAAGAAACATTAAAAAAAGGCGAATTTTAACAAGTCATCTTTGCTGTTTTCTAAGTGTTGATTATATTTGGTATTATCAGTTCATTATTTTAAAATTAAAAATGATCACTGCTTCCAAAATCCAGAAGTTAATTTTGGTGGTTTGTATGAAGGTGTATAGTTTTTATCAGATGTGGAAGGGTTAGTTAAATGAATTACTGTTTGATTGCTAGATTTTTGAACAAATTGTTTGCTGAATTTATAAGCTTTTAAAATGGACATTTACAGTATCCATTAATTCATTAAGTTTGTCAGAAAGGAATTGATGGTGGATCCGCGGTTAATCTTATTTAATACTTTGTTTGTACCAAATCACGTGCTTGTTATTTATTATTTTTCATGCCATTTCGCGTTATTTCTACTTCCCAAAGACGGTTGTAATTTGCCTCCTGCAGCTTGCTTACAAATGATTTTTTGGACATAGCACAATAAATTATTCCTTAGCTGTGAAATTTCGTTTCTCTCGTTGCAGAACTTAGTTTTAATTTTTATCCTAAGAGATACATTTGACAAAAATTTGGAAATTTGATGAAAGTGAACTGAGGGGGAAAAGGGTTTAAAAGGGAATTATAAGAGAGAAAAGTGAGATTTGAGAGGATTTAGTAGTGATTTATAGGATGTTTTACAGGTTGCGCGACTTTGATATGTGATAACAAAAGTGATATCCTGTACGATTTTAGAATTTGTTTTTTTTCTTCCGAAAAGTTTTCCTATTTCTTTATTTAAAAAATTTATTCAGCAAATTCGTCTATCTCTGTTGTTTTTCCTTAGGTGGAATATTTAAATTTGAAAATGTTCACCATGATTTTTTGATTTTCGAGTAATTTTTCTTTCTCCAGACAAAGGAAAATTTGAGCGGAGGATTTTTTCTGCATTATAAAAACTATTCCATGTCAGATGAGTAATCGAAATGTAGCGGCAGAGAGTTTATATGGAAATTTGTTGGGGTATTGTGTTAGTGTGGGTTAGAATTAAAGAGGCGCACATTACTGAATGTCACTAGGATGGGTCGCTGGGGATTCATGATGAATGGATAAAATAGTTTAAAATGGACATTACTTGAGTAGTCAGTCTGGTTGCTGTCTAATTTATGTCATCTGACTTGAAGAATTATCTATAATGGAGGCATCCGGTGGCCGGTGATTGATAGGGAAGGATTGGTCAAAGCAAAAGCTTGAAGGCTTCGTTGTTATTATTGAAGACATGGGCTGAAATTATTTGCACAATAAATTAAGCTTTCTAGCATCATGTGCCAGGGACATGAGGCAGAACAATTCAGTACTATGAAAGTTGTATTATCCTTGCAATGAATCACATCAGTAGTCTAGTTAAGCATTCCATCCGCGATTCATTAAGTAAATTAATTTCTACAGAAAAATTTGTGGAAAAATGTCATTCTTTTTCCTTATTCGGAATGAAATAACGAAAAATCAGGTGTTTATCAGATTTATATTCTAGAAGCAGTGATAAAAAGTTGAAAACATATGGAAATATTTGTTTTAAAAATTGGACAGAAGTATTATTTCAGGGAAAAAACTCCTTAAGCAATATCTTTTTTGCTGCGAAACAATTTCATGAGACTTTTACACAAATGTTAATTTTGTCGAGAACTCTAAAAGAGGTTACCTTCATCATATTTATAGTATTGACAGCATTTCTCTCACATTGCAGTCTCTAAACACCCTGTTTCTATAATCCATCCCAATTTTATCACATTTGTTATTGTTCTCTCTCTTCTGTGATGGCTAGTGAGATAGAATAGATTTCTAATATTAGTACTGATTTTCTTTCGAAAATTGAAAAGCATTAGTCATGATTTTTTTTTCTCTTTTAAGAAAAAGAGCATAAATATTTGATAAAATGAGAGGAAGCGTAAGCAGGAAATAATGAAGGGATTTGGTAAATTTTGGAAACCTTTTCTAGGTGTTTTTTTATTGCAAATTTTACATGCAGTACGACTTTGTATCATCTATTTAATTAAGTGTTGGTTATTGTTCTATTTTACAGCTTATTAAATAGTATTTCAAATCCTTCAGTTTTATTATAAAATGATTGGATTATACAGTAAACTTGAAATAGGATCATACCAACACAGTAATGCACACAACTGATTGCTATTTGAAATAGATTGAATTTTGGTAAAATAAATTAAATGTAAATATAATTGTAGAGAAATAACTCGATAACTCATACTTTTAGAAAACCGTTATTTTCGGTTGTTGTTCGATCATACTAACTAATTTTTCTCGGGAAATTGGAGATGATAGTATACGTTATGGCATGAGTATGTATTGTAGGACAAAAATAATAACTAAAATTTTGTTTCGTAACTTTCAGACTTCGAAGTTAAGTTCTATGTAGAAAGTTGGTAAATATGATTTAGTCGGATGTTATATGTACAGTATGAACATATTTGAAGTGGAATGTTGGTTGGTTTATCTTTAAAAAATATTCTTTAAAAAGGTGATATTTCGAGGGAATATCTTTTTTTTCCATCTTTGTCCACTAATTTGCTATATTACGATGCACATCAATGATAATGTGCTTTCATTTGCTCCTCCATATCTCATATTCATTGTTTATTGCTCAAATGTCCTTGCTTTTTTACATATAATTCGCGAAGTGGACCACCACTGAAGCTTACAATCTTAGTCAGAAGGCGGAAGCAGTCAGACGTGTAAGTGGAATAAATAATCCCTATGATAAATGTCATTAATTTTTCTATTCATTTAGGAACAAGAATTCTCTTACTCGTTAATAAATCAAAAATTAAATTTCAGTCCTTTTATCAAAATTTTAATGGACAGTAAAAAAAATATTGATAAGCTTAATATTAAATTCAGCACATTATGAGGCGTCTCAGGATACATGAATGAATTTTGTGAAAAGAGTCAACCGCATATGTAATTAGCTCATGGTTTGATTAATTTATTTAACGTATTAGAAATACTGAAAAGCAAAAAATATTGAATTTGTTGGAAAAAATTAATCAATTTCATTAACATCAAGTGATCATTTTTGGCAACACTTGCAATTTGGTTTTAAATAAAAATGTTTCACGAAACTAGCACACTCTCTTCACATTGATTAAAGCAGTCTGATGATACGATTGAATTTTTGAATGATTAAATTTTTTTTTGAATGATTGAATGATTAAAAAAATAGGAAAATTAAAGGAGCAGTTATAATGTTGCTTCATGATTATGGCAGACGACGGCAATGACATGAATAAAATGATAGTATTTTCAGAAGGGTAGTATAAAAGGGAATTTCGAAGAATTCATATTTCTCTCATTTGCTATTATTACATCTCTTTACAAAAAAGGATGAAGTTCAAGTGGCAATAGAAAGTGCTAACTATTTGAAGGCCAGATTTTTCTATGAAAAAGGGTGTTCCAAAGAATGGAAAGCCATTTGAAAGTAAAATATTAAAATAGATATTTCCAAGATTATCACTTTCGCCAGTGGATTTATTCGCAGTTATGCGTTTATTTGCCAGTGGATTTATTCGCAGTAATGCAAAATTTCCCCATTAATGCATTTATTTAAAATTTTTTTATAAAATATTAGCATTTATTATATTTACAACTGATTTGCTTGCTTTTAAAATCCTTTATGAAGGAGAATTACACGATGAGAGAATGTTAACATTGTGGCCAGGCGAATATTTAAACTTCGTTTCATTGTTTGAAACTTTTTGCCATTTCTTTTTTCATTTTGTATGTAGTAAAAACTGCGTAACGGCCCAATTAAGTATGAAAATTCTTTTTCTCAAAATGTGTAAATTACATGCATTGTTTATTCATAGCTGATATTTAATTTTTATTTCTTGATTAATAACAATAATTTATTAAGATTTGTGGCATCTTCTGGCTCATTAATTATCGAAAATATTGGATCCTCCGATGAGGGTGTATATCAGTGCGCAGTTCACATAACGGACAAAAAAAGTTTTGTTTGGACGTATCTTTCTCAAAGGGCAACTGTTCGGCTACCTTCGCTTAGCAGGTTTTATACTTCTCTTAAAATCAATCTGATGCGCGTGATACTTTTATTCAAGTGATTCGACTCATTATTTTACTTTTTTGCTCGTTTGTTCGCCAGTGGATTTATTCGCAGTTATGCAAAATTTCCCCATTAATGCGTTTATTAAAAATTTTTTTAATGAACTTAATAATTACAGGTTCGAAATACAACCAGAAGATCATGAAGTGCATGTCGGCCAGAGTGTTGCTTTTGCCTGCATGCTGGTTAGTAAACTTCATTCTCTATTCTGCTGCTTTGATGTTCAAAGTTTTGAAAATTTTGAAGTGTATCACTTATTGAGAATTAATTTAAGATAACCCGAAGTCCAGCGTAGGAAGAGAAGATTTTAAATTGTGTTGAGTAAATGAATAATAAGTGTTTGCAGGATTCTCAACCTTCAGCTCACATCGAATGGTTTTTCAACGGTAAACGAGTTAGCGAGCGTATGTTTTTTCTATGTCTTTCTTTCGTTTGTTTTAGAAAAATTTTTGGTAAGAGCATAATATTTGAAAAATAAAATCAGAGTTCATTGGTTTATTGAATTACATAGAAATTTATGGTTGAATGATAGGAATAGGACTTCAGTTTTTATTATTATTTAATTTACAATTTGAAGAAAATTAAAAGAGCTTCTGAAATCATTATACGGCGATAGAAAATTCATTTTATTTTATTTTTATTTATTCTTTAACCTTTCTGTTCCAGTTTTTTGCAATGATGTAAAGGAAAATTTATGTTTTAATTCATCCTTCGTTTGAAAAATAAAAAAAGGATATTAATGCCTTGTGTTTCAGAAGACAAAGTTAATATTGAGATGTTCGATTACAGGAGATGATAGTTCTATAACAATATTTCCGGTTACATCGACGCTTGAGATAAGCAGTGTGTTACCCAGACATGAGGGTGTTTATCGTTGTGTTGCAACGAATGAGGGAAAAACTCGTGCAAGCCGTGATGCTCAACTTACAATAAAACCTGAAAATAGTGGTAATTTTGATGATTTCATTTATGATCGAATAATTCCACAATTAAAATTTGCTAATCATGTGCTGGTATTTCTATGGAACACACTCTTATGGCGTAACTATACGCAGAATATAACTCAGTTATTTAAATCACTTTTTGTTAAAATATGTACCATTAAAGAGCATAATCTTTCTACTACCATAATTCTAGACCATATTTCTATACCATATTTCCTAGAACCATAATTCTATTGGTGGAACAATTTAAAATTCTTAAGAAATTTAGAACTAATTTTGCAGTTGGCAATGAATTTTCGGAGCCATATTTTGTTCTGGAACCGCGAGGTTATGTAGTAAATGAAGGCGAATCTGTGATACTAGAATGTTTGGTTAATGGATGGCCACGACCAGATGTTCGATGGTTGAAAGGTGCCGAGACCCTGTCAATAACTGGTGACAGAGTAAATATTGTCATTACCTTCGTATTTTTATGTTGGCTTCTCCCATAAAGTATTATGAAAACTACATTCTGTGGTGCATGTACATTTTCTGTACATATGCTTTTATGGATTTTTCAGATGCGTCAATTGGGTTCATCTTCGTTCATGATTCTAAAAGCGAAAGCACAGGATACAGGTGTTTATACATGCAGAGCAAGTAACAGTCAAGAATCGTTAGATGCATCAGCTACTGTGCAAGTTAAAGGTGTATAATATTTTTCTTCTAACGAATTAAAAAAATTTTTTGAGAAATTGAGTTAGTGAACTGTGCTCTAACTTAACACTTGACTTTTTTTGTTTGTTGTATTTAATTATTTATAAATATAAGGTTGTTGGCAGTACTGAATGTCTTATGATTTTTTTTTTTTTACAGTGGCACCGAAAATTATAATCGAGCCAAATAGCGTTGTGGCACAGGAAACAACGGATGTCGAGGTTTTTCTGTACTTTTATCTAAAAGGCCTTGAGATCTTCAGAAATTAAAAGGATTGTCTGAAAGTTGTTGAAAAAATTATAAATTCATGTCAATTTAATCCATTTAATCTATTTCCAGTTCAATTGTGAAGCTTCGGGAGAGCCTGGTCCGGCTATCAATTGGTATAAAAATGGTGAAACAATCATCGCGAGTGAATATTTTGTGGTAAAAATTATTTTCGAGAAAATGTAGAATGTAATCTTGAGTTTTTTTAATCTGTTAATGTAGAAATAATGCCGACTTGGTTAAAATGGAATGATAAAAGTTCTCTAAACTAATGAAAGAAATAAAACTATTGTTTTATATGAAATCGGCGAAATTAAAACTGAAACAGTGGCGTATGTTTAAAATCAATTTTTTCTTCAACAGATAGAAGCAACCCGCTTACGAGTTCTCGGATTAGTACGAAACGATCAGGGTGTATATCAGTGTATTGCTGAAAATGACGCAGGATCTGTACAGTCGAGTGCTCAATTAATTGTTGATAGCTCTGGTAATCTTTAGCATTAATTTTCTTAAATTGACTATCATACTCCATAGCAGAGATACTTAGTTCTTCCTTTCAAATTGAAGGCTAAAAATATGCATTGTGTTTACTCTACATGTAATTACTGCGTAAAACAGTATAAAGTTATTTTTTCAAATTTTAAATAAGCCAAATATCAAAAATCTTCGCATGTGGTGATTTTTGGTCCTTTAAACAGTCTTCAGTTTTCCATTTTGTCCTTCAACCAATTTATTAACATGGTTTTAATCCATATTTTTGGGCTATCCTGTGCTTAATTCTACCTATTTTTTTCTTAGAATTTTAACTATAATAGTATTACTTTATAGAGGAGCTATTGCAACTTTATGCCCTAAAGTTTTACACAATGAATGAGACGACATCTGTTTTGGAAGAAATTATGAATGTTAATAACACGGGTGAGAGGAGTGTGCATGAGTGTGTATACGATTGCTTTTCAATTAGCTTATTGCTTTTTACTATTTTTCATTCAAAAAAATAAGAATATTCTATTTGAGAATTGTTTTAAAATTTTTATAGGTTCAACCTAACTTCTCTCATATTTAGAAATGACATATATTTTTTTGGAATTTATCCAGTAACTGATGATCGTTTGTTAGCTTCTTAATGCTTTAATTTTTATCCATGCACGATCAACAGCATTTAACTATAATCTAAAGAATATTCGTTACTCATTTGATACTTTGTTTGTTTGCTGTAAATCATTGGAATGGACTACGAAATGTAATTTGAGAATTATATTAAAACTTAGTCACTTATGCTTGAAAATTTTCACTACAACCCTTTATTTTATCAGGCTTATTTATTTTTTTGAAAATTCTAATTTAGATTCTTTTTCGATGGCGGGTTCAAGTGGACAGCCAAAATTGCCATCAGAACCGTTAGGTGTTCGTGCCAATGTTGTTGGAAGCCGTTTTGTGGTACTGACTTGGGATCCTCCTGTGCAGCGGCATGGTGCTGTTTTAGCTTATCATATTTTCTACAAGGAGCAAGATTCATCAAGGTTATTACATGTTTTTAATTAGTGGTATAATTTTATTGTATAAAATCGTTTTGTATTGGAACTACTATTCAAAACGATTTCTGCAGATTTTTATTTAATGCATATTGGATGTTTCGCAACATGTAAAAGTAGGTTAAATTCAGAGAGCGAATGCTGAATTCATCAACAACATCGTTCACGGTGACTCCGTTGCAACCGAATACTACCTATGTTTTCCGGCTAGTTGCAGAAAATGAAGCTGGTATGGGAAAGTCAAGTATGCACATCCTTATTACGACGACAGAGGAAAAGGTTTCGTATTTTACGGATCATTAATTCTGGAAGGAGAAACAAGTATCCTATTTAAGTGCAATTGATTAGGTACTCTTATGATACCAGTATGAACTTATTGGTGTCAGAGAATTTGTTTGTCCTGTTTGGAAAAGTCTTTTGAATACAGTGTGTCAAAGCTTTAAAATGAAGTATGGAGCTTTGAAATTTTTAGGCAGTTCCTGGTAAGGTGAAAAATCTCCATGGGACGGCTTTGAGTCCGGAAACTGTCGAAATATCTTGGGAACCACCAGGCGGTAATGGACCTGAGCCAGTACAGTACAAATTGTTTTATATTCGGAAAGATCATGATCCGAATGAAAAGGAAACGCAAATTGTGGTTTGCTTTTGTTGTTAATTTTTTACTTTGTTTTGAAAGATTTACTATTCATGTTGCCAGCAACATATAGACTAATCTTTGTTATTCTTGATGTTGGAAGGGAATTCAGTAACGATATCATGTTATCAGATGAAAAAGACATCGTACACTCTTCATGGTATGGAGAAATATGTCGAATATATAATTCGAGTCGAAGCAGAAGGTGTAAATGGTGCTGGTCTAAGTTCTGAACCAATTATTGTAAGAACGCTGTCCGATTTACCATCATCACCTCCTAGCGATGTTAGGTATGTTATGTGCTATCGTCAAAGTATTATCCTGTTTTGGTTCCACGTGCTACATTTTTCTCACAGAGTTTTTTTTTATTTGTGAACCATTTAAGTATCTAGGCTGTTCCTAGAAATCACAATGAACATGAGACAGAATCCTCACAATTTGCCTTGCAGAGCTGAAGCAATTTCAACTACCTCTATCCTTGTACAATGGATACCACTATCAGCAGAAGAGAGGAACGGTATTCTGACTGGATATCGAATAAAATATAAAACAAAGTTGCGTGGTTCAAAAGGCAATACTTTAGTGGTCGATGGAAACAACAGTTCGTATACCATATCAGGTCTTGAGCCTGGTACACAATATATGCTTCGAGTTGCCGCTGTTAATCAGGTTTCTTATTGAATTTGTTAATGAAATTGTTAAATGCCGAAGACAAGAATACGATTTCAGCTTCCGTTTGCAAAATTTTTAAGACTGTCAGGCAGCATTGAGGACTGAAAAAATTGAAGTTTTTAATGACTTACAATTCGGCAGAGAACGTTTCATAACTTCATTTGTCATAAGTAATAAGGGTTCATCGAATAAACACATAATGAAGAATTAATTTTAATTAAAAAACACTTTCAATTTTTAGTGGTGACTGCTAAGATTTATATATAATATTTCAGAATGGATCTGGTCCAAATTCAGATTGGCTCTATGTTAACACACCTCTTGAAGACAAAGATGAAGGGCAAGTGGCTGGGCCGCCGCTGTCGCTTAAAGTTCAGCCATCTCTGGATTCAATCCAGCTTTCATGGCTGCCACCTAGAGATGATAGTGTGATGATTCGTGGTTACTTAGTAAGTTTTTATTTGCTAATACTGCGGTTATTAGCATTTCGACAAGAATCGATTTTTGTATTATTTACTGAATAGCTATAGAACATCTAAGCGAAAAATGTCTTTTCAAATATAATATTTCGTGTATATATTATCATGCCTATATTATTATATAATATAAGAATGGGATTCCAGCTCCGATGAAATATAATTTAATTTGACTCATTCTGTTGTGGATTCAAGAATTTTGAAAAATCAAATACTCTAGATTGGTTGGGGAATCAATATCCCAGATGTGGACCAAGTGAAAGTTCCAGCAAGTTTGCGACTCTATACGATAAATGGTTTGAGACCAGGTCGTGATTACGTGATTTCGTTGCGTGCATACAATATGATAGGAAATGGTTTTCCAATTTATGAAACAGTTCGAACACTCTCTCCGGATTCTAAGTCCGTCGCAAGTGGACAACAAACTAGCAAAGATTCGGGACGAACTGAAACGCCAATTGGTGTTAGAGCACTGACACTTTCGTCATCATCGATCCGAGTGACGTGGACTGATGCTGAAATTGATATACCTTATTTAAGACAATACACTGTACGATATGGTTCCAGGTTGTGGTTTTTCAATAATAAATTTTAAAACAACTATTTTTTCTAACTTATTTCATTACTTTAAATATGTATGTGAGATATAAACTGGCTGATTTTGTCTCGCGCTTCTACCTAAAAAATTCTAAAATCAGTTTAAATGTATACACTGTTGAGCAGTTAATTTTGATAAACAAATTAGTTAGATTAATGCTTGTTATAGTGAAATTTATTCTACATTTTACTATTGAGCTTAATAATAGCTTTTAATTCAGTGCCGAGAATGGTGGACAGCGGCGTTATGTTAATACATCTGAACTTGAAGTAGTTGTCGAGGGATTACGGCCCAATACGCAGTACGAATTTGCGGTACGAGTTAATGCTGGAAAGTAAGAATTTCAAGTATTTCAATCTTTTAATTATTTTCTTCCATATTAGTTCTTTTTGACAGGATTTTTTGTGCGATTTTCATTAGTACCTTTTGTGGAAACAGTCCTTCTGCTAATAAAATCAATTTATATGCAATGACTTCTTCAAATTTGGAAATCATTCCTGAAAGTTAATTTATAAGTCATTTTTAATGACGTCGTTGCCAACAGTAATTTTAATATCTGAAATTGAGTGACTAAACATATGTTTTGTCCATTGATTAATTTGAATCCCGTAATTTTAGTTGGTAGTAATATTATTGCTTAGGCATTACTGTTCATTCATCAACTAAGGCATTCCTTATATCTTTCCATTTTTCAAATAATCAGGAATTCTTGCTCTTAACCACTAAAATCTTTGGCATAAATCTAAAATCATGTCTTCCATTGACACCATCTCTGATGCAAATTTCTTTTAGTCGGATTTCATTAGGATGAAGCAATATTTTGAAGCCATCGATCAACATTGAAGCACCGAAATGGATAATAGAATAGTTTTTGATCCTAAAGAGAACCATTTAAAAAATCTTTGAAGTGATTGCAAATGATCAGAAATTGTCAGTAAATTATTAAAATCGGAATGAATTCTATTTTTTCTTAAAATTGATCTAAAATCGGATTATTATAGTAAAGATGGTGCAGTTGGTATCAGTGCCGTTCACTAGTTTTGCGTTGTTAGTTCAGTTTAAAGATGACGTTATTCGGTGAAATAGAATAATCAAAGAAGCCAGTGATGAGTGTGTCATGCTAATCATGAAGGAAGTTCGGCTATTTCCATTAACCATGTTGTAGAACAACATAACTGAGGCTTCTCATTGCGGCATAAAATGTAGTACGAAAAAGCTTGATGTATATAGAGATTTTATTGAAAAGAGCTGTTTAAAGGTCCTCATCCATGTGGTCTATGACTGCAGTGAATTCGACAGCTCCAGCACCACCGTCAAGTGCACCACGTGACCTGACCATCATGCAGCCAGCCGATGGCGACCCACAAACATTGATACTGAACTGGCAACCTCCCAAGTATGCTAATGGCGATATTGAGGGTATGGATTCCGGAATACTTTGGAATAAAAATATATTTGTTTGACATTGCTTAAATTATTTCTGGTAGTATCAATATTTATTTGATTTGCAAATTTTAGTTTTTGCTAAACAGTCGATTCATTTGCTAATAGATGCGTTACTTATGCTGGTATTTTTAATGTCTCTTTAACTGTGCAGATTGAGTTTTAGGCAAAATGTTGAAATGTTGCAATCAGCAGTGATTTTTTGTCATAAGATTCTAAACATTTTATGCAAGTTAAATTTACTTTAACGAAGTTGTAGCAGTCGAAAAGGATATGCTGTGAGAAGTCATGTATCACTCAGAAAGTATTTTTGAAATTTACAATTTTGGAAAACATTTGTTTCAGAGTATTTGGTGTATTATGCAGATCGATCGGATGCACCGGATAAGGACTGGATTCTGGATGGGGTAAAAGGTGACCATTTATCAATCAAGCTGACCAATTTACTGCCACGACAGACTTATTTCTTCAAAGTTCAAGCTCGTAATATTAAGGGATATGGTCCGTTGTCTCCCACATTACAATTTGTTCCTGGTGCACCACCACCGCGATTATTTCAAGTTTGCTTTAAAATCATTTTTTTTAAATCCTTCACTTCAGTTTATTTACGCCAGCAATCATTTCGACGGTGCAATAAATATGGGAATTCCATGTCAATCAGTGATACTCATAGGCGAACTTTATTTTAGAAACCTCGCTGTTTACCCGACTTTCTTTTTTAGTGGTATTTTTAACTGCAGATTAACCTTAAATTATAACATTAGTAGTAGCTGTTGAATTATTATTTAAATTACTATTCAAGAAATTTCAGAGTGTTGATATTGATTTGAAAACTTCTCGCCTGGCATTGTTTTCCACTCCAGCTTATCTGGCACTTATAGCAGCAACCATCGTTCTGTTAATGATGTTGATAATCACTATGGTTTGGTATGTGAGATCAAAGAATAGCAAGAAATCAACAGCTTCAGGCTATATGCGTGGAAGAAAACAAATGAGAAATGGCAAAGGCCCGCCCGATTTATGGATTAATCAGCACAGTGGGGGACATCAAATACATGAGCCGGGTACTTTTTACAAAATTATGCTAAATTGTCTTTCAAATTATTGATTAAGTTAAATTCTCATTGATTTTAAGAGTTTGTCTTTGCTCTTTCAATTTTTAGCTCCTATCAATAGTTTATGTTGCTTTATATACATCTGCTTTTTGCTTGCTTATTTTGTTTGCTGCTATAACTGTAAGCAAGTTTTGCCGTAATATTGGGCATGTGTGACTTAAGTGTTGCCATATATTTTGATAAGGATGAGGAGAAAATCAATTTTGTTTCTTCCTGATTTTCACAATAGATTGAGCATTACATCCACGTGGTGTATTTAATTCCTCTTCTCTAACTGTAAGCCTTAGTCACGACATCTATTACGTTGCCTATTTTTTGTTGAATGTAGTAAATCAAATTCTATATTTACAATATTTAAACAATGCTGCATGATAAATTACTCACAATTCTTCTGCTTTTTTGCTGTTCATTATGAATTAAAACTAATATACTGTGAGTATTTGTTGTGTGTAGTCTTTCTGTCCTGTCGAAATACATGGCAACATTTGCATCATTATATCCTGATGCATCACTAAGTTATTCCAGTCTCAAAGTTATGCCAGTTTTGAAGTTAACAATTCTCTAATTACCGACTGATTTAACAATTCTATAATTATCAAATGATTGGCTACGATCATTTTGAAAGCGTCAAAATCCGCATATTTTATAATTGGAGCCAGAATGTGCATCATTGTAGAGAATCTGATTGAAGACGCTCTTGCAACATCGTCAAACGATTTAAATCACGGCAGTGATGTAATTGAAATGATTGATTCACCGCGATCTCAATATCTTACTCTCCAAGGTGCTGCTTCCTATTCCTTTATATAGTTCAAATTTTATCCATTTTTTTGTTTGACGGATTTCATTTTGCTTTCAGCTTTCATTGTTTATTTGTTATTACAGAAAATTTAAAAGGAAGAAAAGGATTGTTTGCAAACAATAGATATTTCGCTTTCGTTTTGCTTCACACACATTTTAAAATATAAAGATGCATGCATACATTTTTCAGAATTTTCTACTCAGACATTTATGAATCCTTCGCACAAATGACATTTCTTTTTTTAGATAACATGTAAATGAATAGCGTGCTAACCGATAAGATTTTTTTAGCATTATTAATTAATTTGCTATTCTATTTTATTTTTAGATAATTATACTTTTTTTAGTTCTTTGCTGCTAAGTCACCGAGGCAGCAAACTTGAAGCATATATGCATTTTGAATCCAATCCTTGTCCTTTGAGTCCATATATATTTTGTATGTATGCATGCTGAATGTTAAACTGAATATTTGCAGCATGCCGTCACTGCAAGTTAGCAGGGGTAGTATTTTGGCATATTTGTCATTTGATTGTAGGGCAAAAACGCATTTAGCATCAGTGCAGCATGGTAATGTAATTTTTTTAGTGTAGTGTAATGTTTTTTTAATGCAGTGTGGTTTTTATTTAATTTAGTTGCATGTAAACTATATAATTTGTAAAATTCTGTAATGTAAGTTATAAAAAAGTTGATAACGGTCGGTGTATTGTGCACTTTTTCTACGTTGAGTGATCCGATGGAAGGTTACCGAATTTCAGCTCAATTCACTGATCCCGCATACATTGAACCAAGAATGACTCAATCAGCTCATGATGGTATCAGTCAACGACGGCGACCTGTGGGAAAAGCAGAGCTGATCTCCACTCATGCTGTTATGTCACAAAATCCATTATCCGGTATTGTAACTGGTGATTGTAAGTATGGTCGTATTGGCAGTAATGCTACTGTTTGCTTGTTAAGACTCAAAGTATTCACATTGTCTTTATGTACAGTTCGTTGTCTCAGAGGCAGTTTAACACCGCCTGCAGCACCAGTACTCAATTTGTGCTAAAAATATTAAATATAGGTTACTTTCCTTCCTATTTGCCTTCACTTCATGTTTTTCTGTCAAATCTCTTTGGCAATTTATGCTATGATACACTTGCAAATTTCACTTAGATGGTGCTATAAGTCTCTGTTCATAATGCCTAAGATATTCCCGGTGGAATTTTATATGATGAAATTGAGCTTGAATACAAATCGGGAAGGTTGAAGCTTAGCTGTTTAAGACAGTTTTTGTTAAATTCCGTTCCGCAAGTAATATTTGACAGATTCTGATATTAACCTGATGAATTGTAATGAATTATTGTTTAAGCTTCTTAAAAGAAAGATTTTGGAATTGCATGATGTTATAGATAGATGGTATAGGTATTCCTGCTAGAAATTAGAATGCCTAGAAAATGTACCTGCATTTCTCTTTCTGGGTCTATTTCTGTTCACTTTCATCGGCACGCTGCACTTTTCATGAACACAATTAATTTTAATAATTCGTAGCTCATTCTTGAATTTTTTACATTTCTTTCTAACACTTCTTAAGTATTAGATTTAGGTAATGGTACTTTAACACGAAGTTATCACCAGTCATCGACCAGCCTTGAAGGACGACAAAGAACTCCCCAGATTCTTTACACAAATACAGGCCGACATCAGGTTTTTTTCTGTTAAAACTTAATAAAGATTTGGATTTACATTACTTACGTTTTGATTGTTATATCATGGAGAAAACAATATTTTGAATAAAATAAGTCAGCAATAACAGTTAGGTATTCAACCAACTCATCATCACACGCAGACATATGAAATTCTTTTTTTAGAAAATTTATTTAAAAACATCGCAAAATATCAGGTACCTCTTAAAATTTGCACACTTGAAGTGAATTAAAATCGAGCTGATGTAAGTCACGTGATGTAAACCGTGATGAAGTAATTTAGGCCTCGAAATGAATTAAAACTACGCTGTCATGTTGCTAGTATTGCATAAGATAGTTTGTGCTACATAATTGAATCAGCTGTTTAGTAGCGAATTCAGTTGAAGAACAGATATTAATTTAAATTCCAATAATTATTAAGGATTGGTTAAAGTATATTTTTTTCAGGTAGCTAAAATTGATTTTTCCGACCATAGTTCGACGTACAGTTCATCTCAAGCACTTCACATATCGACTCCACCTCCACCTCAGTTACCCAATCAAGGACCACCCGTTGCTCCACCCGCTCAATTACTCAGCCACGATGGTTACAGAACATTACGCAGAAATTCTGTAAATTCAAATCCGTTGAAATCATTTACCCAACTTGCTGGAGCACCACCACCAATCACCCCCACGTCAGGTGTGTTTGTGTACAGAAGAGAACTAAATTTGATTCGATTTCAATGATTTATGTTACATTTTTCTTTTTTTATTAACTGCTTAACGCATGTTCCAGACTTGATATTTTAGCATTTACTTATTTATTAATTGAACATCAAAAGTACAATCTATAGGTGGACATTATCTAGGATCAGGTGAACGAATGGCACATGTCGTTAGACCTCTAGTTGTTACATCACCGAATACTAGAAACGGAAAACCTGCTGGTGTTGTTATTGGTCAGAAATCGTCTAGTGTTCCTGTGGGACGTGCAGCTGCACAACCGCGTGTTAATGTCAATAATATTTATGCGCCATATGCATCTTGTGCAGTGCCGGAGAAAACTGCATTACAGCGTGAAAATGTTATTGAAGCACAACCATTACAGGTTCTGCTTTGCTTCTTTTCTCCGAAATTATAAAATTTTGAGGTGATCATCGTATATTTGTTCTTGACAGCTTATTTTGTATTCTTGAAATATAGTAATATTATATCCAAGAACTTTCGATTTCGTCGTTTATTGAAATTTTAGAATGAGTTTAGAATCATTGCATTTTTTTCTGTTTTTAAGGCATTTTCAAATTTCAGGCTTCAGCCTCAACGGAAGAGCTGAATGCCCAGATGGAAAATCTGGATACAATGATCGATGATTTACAAGCGCTTCAACATGAGTTCAGTGCAGCTACATAATTGATATAATATTACTATATGATAGTGTTGGTTATAATATAAAAGCTATCATCAATTTACCAGTAATTTCTCAAAAATTCCTCAACAAACTGGTCGATGTCGATCTCAGTTCTCGGTGTGTTTTATTAAATGGATTCATATTAATTTGAATGTATATCAGCACTCGATGAATGGTCATATTTTATTAATTTTTGTCATAATCCATTTTACATAGTGCTGGATTACTGAAATAATTTTGAGCATCGATAAGTGGATTTAATGCAATTAAAAAAATAGTAGATGACAGAATGATCGTTAGAATTGTAAATGTAATTGCTGACAGTTCTGGTATCATTTTTATAACAGTTTTGCTATCATCCTCTTTCTTGGTAGATTCTCCTTCATTATAGATAAATTTTTTCGTTGAGTATAGACCTAAAACGTTATCAAATCCTCTTTGATACTTGTCGATGCTTTATTCAAATAGAGACGTAAGATTACGCCTTGTTTTATTTTGTCGTTTTTTAGAATTTTTTTACTGGGATTCAGTAAAATATGAATCGTTTCTTCTCATACATAAATAATATTGTTGTTGAGATTTGTTATTGTTGCTAGCAATTGCCAAATTGAATTGAAATGTCTTTATGGTCAGGACAACCAGCTTCATTCCACTTCTCTTCTTCGAAATAATTTAATCAGGGACGACATCTTTTTGCAGAACTAAGTGTATTTCAAATCTGGGGATAAAAATGTGAGGAATGTTCATATCTTTTTCTCATTCTGTCCTTTTTACATATGGTAATTCTTTGTAATTAGTTTTACTACTAAGCTTGCATCAGAATCAAAAACTATCTCGTATTAAGCGTTAAAATCCGGTACCATATTTCCCAAGCGATATGGGGGCTAAGAAGAACGAGGGTAGTCAATCCTATTAAGAAAAGGAAGTGAACTGAACATTTCCTATTTTTTGGGTAGTTTAATTGAACATTTCCTACGGAGAGAAGAAAGTCAACTGAACATTTCCTGTTTCTTGCCTAGGCGTTGCATTTCATGTTGTTTTGTTTTTTCCTTTAAGAAATGTATTTGCACTATTTTTCTGCTCCTAAGTATCTAACTGATTTTCGCTAAATCTCACTTAAATTTATTGACTAGCCAGCAATCAAGTTTTTTGCCTTATTTGATCGAATACTTTCAATTCCCCAAATTTTTTAAATTGCCATTTCTCTGTTATTAAAAATTTCGACGTAGAAGATAAAAAAATGGAAGATCAAAGCGGCAATTTTTTCGTAGCATTTTTTTCCATGCCTTTCTGAATTTGTTTGCCTCACACAGGATCAATTTGTAATTCATAAGCTTATGACCTCTACAGTTGATTGGATGTATTCCTCATTCGTTACAACTAATATTTAAAAAAAAAAATACACGTGTGAGATCGTGCATTCTTTTGTTGGAGACGTTGAGCTATTAATTTGACATTTGTTAATATGTTATTGAAGTTTCAAATTTATTACATGAACTTTTTATGTAGGGCATATGAGTTTCTTTACATTATTAATTTACTTTTTTCAATATCTTTGAAATACTTGTGAAGCTCGATGAAATGGTTTTACAGGTCATAAATACTTTATGAAGAAAAAAATTTGATAAGAATTATAACTGTCCTACAATTTGTGCTTTCTTATCATTATTTTCCTTTCTCTTCTTTCAATAATGCAAATAATTGAACATTTCGCTTTCATATTTTTGATCACTTTGTGTTATTGTACATTAGAAATTTGTATGTATGTACCATCACTGATTCCCTTTCTGAGAAATAAATGAGTTTTTTTTTTCAATCTTATTTCTCAAACCGTTAAAGAAAAAGGGAGGAAATTCATTTACCAATAATATCAGTACCTCTCTTTGCGGTAATCAGTATAAGTTTTTGATTAGAAGAATATATAAAAGTGGTTAATTCATTTCAAATCATTTTTTATATTTTTCACACTTCCAATGTGGTCTTTTTCTCTAACATTTTTACTTGGAATTTTATTTATTAATAATGTTCATGCGGAAATTTGGCAATGTGACGATTTACTAAAGCAGTGTACCAATAGTAGTGATAGTTTTTTGGATATCAATAAAGTTAACGCAAGTAATATCAAGTATTTTTGTGAAAATTATACACAGTTAATTATTCCATGTCTAGCAAATGAAGTAAGTTGTACATGATTTTTTTAATTATTAATTTTTTATTTTGGCAATCCTTTTAAACTATTCTTAATAGGATAATTTTGGTACGTCTAACACTTGCGAACTAAAATGTGAATGAAACAATCGGCAATTACATATTTGTTTTTGTTTTCCTTTTTTAAATATCAATTTTGAGACTGTTTCAAGATCATTAATACATTTTAAAGAAATAACACATGTGTTTACCTGTTTGCTGACTGAGATAAAATATGAAATTAGAGGTACAAAATTAAGTTTTAAAGATATATGCGACATTATTACGACACTTAATTTTCCAGATGAAAGAGAAACCGGGTGCTACTTATCGTGATAGATTCCTAATTCTTCGTAAATGCATTGAAAATGATCGATCAAATCAAAATAATTCGGTATAAAATTTAGAATAAAAAAATTTATGAAATTTATTGATATTTCAAAATGATTACGAAGTAGCATTTTCAGGAAAACACGATAAATACGATCAAAATTCTACGCTTATATCTATACAGCTGCATTTATAATAGTATAGCAGATATGTCACAGGACAGTTGCTTTAAGTAATTACATTTTTTAATTTTTACTTCTCTGAAAAACTTTAAGTATATTTTTTCCGACAGATCAACACGAACAAACTTTCATATAAACTACACAAAAATATATATTATTGATAAAAATCAAATTACAATAATACTGGAATATTTATTTATACTCTTAAATTTTCAGTAAATTGGTGCGAAATTGTGTAGAAAAAAATCCAACAACTCGTAAATGTTATTACTGGTCATGTAAAAGTGAAGATTTTCTAATACTTAAAAGATCCAATCTTATCCTTTCGAAAAAGGACGAAGAAAATGACGATGATCAAAATATTACTGAAACCAGTAAGGAATTCGAAAAATTCAATTCAAAATAAGATTAAAAAAAAAGCATTTCATTCTAAGTACTTTATTACTAATCAATACAATCATCTACTGATAATCTCTTAAATATCAATACCTCATTCAAATAAAATGATTATACTGAAAGAATAAGTATGAAAATATAAATATGAATAGTGTTATGGAAAGCTAATTACAGCTGATGATGATGATAAAACTAAAAAATGGAAAAGTAGCAAAATTCAGATTACAAATAATTCGATTGTTCGAAATGGAAAATGTCAAAAAATGAAATGGAAATTTATCATCTATTTAGCCGTATATTTACATTTTACATATTCACTTGAAGCAGTGAGCTAAAAATCAGTCTCTCAAAGGACGAAATAGTAAGACATAATTGCTTTCTTCCATCTATCCATCATTTTATTCCTATCAAACTAACTTTTATCAATTTAACAATGCTAATGAAGACAACCATACCATAAAATAAAAGTATATATAATTTCTGATGCATCAACAGTGATAAGAGAGTGAAAGTGTGTTGCAAATATAAAAAGTGATAACAATCAATCACATGATAAGAAATAATTACAATGAATAAGTGATCATTAATTAGACTAATTATGTTAGAACTTGATAGTTTTCTTGAAATTACATTAATTTGAACAAGACAAATAATAAAAATGAAATAAATTGTGAAACATTTGTCAACTATTATATATTGGATAAATTATTATCCTAAATATTGTCATGCATTAATGTAAGCAAATTCATCTGTACAACTCAATCATTTTGGCAACAAAAAAAGAGCCAAGAAAACGAAAGCAATTTATTCACTGAAATAATGTGAATTTCATTGATAGACAAATATGTTATATAAATTTAAAACAGATTAACATTTTTTAAATCATTTCGTGATATCACATATCTGAATATTAAAACAACAAAAAAAATGAATTTTAACTTTTGACACAAACATCATAAAAAAATTGTAAGTTATAAAGTTACAAAATTAACAATTAAATTTTAAAATTATGAGAAGTGTTGATTTTTTTCTGTATTTTAACTTATCAATAAATTGATTTTAATTTTTTTTTCCAATATTTTTTCTATTTGTTTATTACTCCAATTTTTCTTACATTTAAGCCTAATAATGAAAAAATGATAAAATAATCTAATGAAAAATGAGATATTAAAACGGATAACAATGCAAGGCATAATCGCTAAATTTTATTTCAATAATACATTATACAATTGTAGAACTATCTCACTGTTTTCTTTGTTTTAAAATTTTAATTGTTTTTTCAAACGCCGCAATTCAGTAATTAAAATTTCATTTGTAACAATGCTTTTTTGATAACAAATAATGAATTTGATAATAGTACCGGCATCTATCACTAAATTTCCATATTTCCTTGTCCAGAAATTTTACCGCTATCAGGTATTGTTATGCGAAATACGGATCATGAAAGTCATATTCTGAATCTAACTGGACGATAATTTGCTCTCATCATTACACCAAATTATTTACAGTGCATCATTATCATAAAATAATTTCCACTATTAATTTTTATTGTTGATGGTTATAAAATGATTAGAAGTATTTATTTTTGATATTTTGATAGTAACTAGAAAAGTTAAAAAGTTTGGATTACATAGTAATACCATTTCTCCTTACAAGTCAATGTAATTAATCACTACATTATCTCAACATCAACTCGATACTTACTTAATCCTACGGTTAAATTGTAATGAAAAAGTAATTATTCAAGTTACTACTCCTAGGATGTCAATAACTTAAGCAACAGGTGGATTACATAGTAATACCATTTCTTCTGACAGATCAATGTAATTAACCACTACATTATCTCAACATCAACTAGATACTTACTTAATCCTACGGTTCATTTTTTGGCGAACTTTCCGGATCCATTTTCTGGCTGATTCTTCATAGGCTTATTTTCCTTGACCATCAAAACTTTCACCCATCAAATTACACAACAACGAAAGAATATATCCTAACAACATTTCGTATTCCACACCCTTTTTTTCAAGGCATTAAATAAATTTTTGGATTGAAGAAAGGATTCAAAGAATGTAACTAAACAAAAAAACTATAATATAGTTTTACTTGAAACTTATGATATCAAAATAAGATAGTGAAATAAACTACAAAATACAAAAATAAAATAGCATATTCATTCAAAGATACAAAAATAATTCCTCAAATAGACATAGAAATCGATGGAGATAGTTAAATTTATTTAATACAATGTGTAAACAAAATAATTTCACTGCAAGAATAATAGATTAAAATTTATATTCAACTTCGAAAGACTATTAACCTGCTAGGTGGAAATGGAACGGAAATACGGCAGTCTTATTGAAGATACTGATAGAAAGATGAAAGTCTAGCAATCTGAATACAATGCAGACAACAGAACTTGATAGTTCACTAAATAGACTTAATAAACAAAAAAAGAAAAAAAAACAATTCCATTTAAGCACATTTTGGCGTGCAGGCCATCACAATAAAAACACACCACAGACAATCTTGAGAGTAAATGAAAAACAAAAATTCAAAGATATTAAAAAAACTAAATTTTGGATTTCTTTTTTCGTTCTGTAAAACAACGGTACATGCAAGAGGAAATCAAAATAGAAGAAAAAAATCAAAGAATTTTTGAAAGCTCAAATGAATTCCATCGCGTATTCTCGATGAACCTTTTTTAATTTCATTCTAAAATCAAAATTAATCCAGTTTAGCATGAATTTCCGGTACTTGAGATACTTGAACGAGAAAAATTCAAATCAAAAAAATTATGAACGTGCGGCGACCAACCCACTGGTAACCAAATGAATAAAATCAAAGCATTTTCTGTACCCATATAAATAATACAACATATAGATGAAACATCTTATTCAAAAACAAACATTATCCTTAATTCTCAAATAGAAGATTTAAAATTTTCATCTGGAACTTGAAATCAATAAGAATCAAAGCTCTTTCAAAAAATGAAATCCAATTTTCGTTAACTTCTAATAGGTAAAATTACTGAGTCCCTCAATTCTTTATAAGAAATTATCAAATAATTTGTTCAAAAACAATTTTTAACACTAATCTATCACAAGGAAATCACAATATATACGTCTGAAAATACAATAGATTAAACAGTATTAGCTTAAATTAGAAATGGAAGAAATTCAATTAATTTTAATTAGTGACGGATAAAAAAATTTTTTGAAAACAGAATCGATATAAATATTTATATTAGATGTATTTTTATGGTTTTCTGGAAGACTACAGCGAAATACTTCAAGAACGCTTTTTTTTACTATAAAAATTCCAAACTTAAAGAAGTCAGTAAGCTGAATAAAACATATTTAAATTCTATCAAAAACATTTCTCCTGAATTCGTTTTGAAAAAATTTCAAGTTTTCAACGAATTTAGGCAAAAATCATAAAGCCGTAACAACAAAAAGGGAATTAAGTGGAATTAGAAAACATAATCTTCGTCGGCCATATCAATTGCCCAACGAAATTTTTCACGCTGCGTTTTGTTGAAAATTTTTTCAATTGGTACTTGATACTTTTTACACCACGCAACTGATATCCGTGGATCCAAATAATTTAGTTTTGATGTCGAAAGAGCAATCTGCTTATTTTCATCCTGGAATTACAACATCTTTAATCGTGTCCAGCAAAACCCGAACTACTCATCAAATCCTATTCTTCATTTCTGCTTAGTACTATGCTCATGTAAAACTTAATACGTAAATAGTTCCTCACGAAAACTTACTTTATCTGTCCGTTGAATTTTTAATTTCCTCAACTGCTCTTTGATTCGATCAACACGCTTGGATGCGCGTTGTTTGGCTGCGTCACCACGTGCTTTTTCTAGTTCTTCCTAAAAACTAATATTCAACAAATAGAAAAAACTCATTAACTATAAAAATAGATTTTAAACATAAAATAGAACATAAACAAAAAAACTCATAAAAATAGAACATAAAAATAGAAAAAAATAGATTTAAAATCAAATTTATCAAATTTATTTGAAATCAACCAAAAACGACATGAAATTTAACCTTAGCTTCTTTCAATTCTGCTTTCTTTGCCTTTATTTTCGCTCCCAAATTTTCCATGCTTTTTTCATGGCTTTTCGGTACAGCACGCTGGTGATTACATAAAATCGCAACCTGACGATTCGCTCTATTGTAACAAAGTAGTAGTTCAGGCGGTGTGGAATCCTCTTCAAATGCAATTTATTAAATAAATATAACGCAATCTTTTGTAATACATCAAATTATCGCCTCATATCCAATTCATTCAGAAAAAAAGTTATTGTAGTTTTCTGGAGTTAAAAAACCATCAAAGGAGAAAAAATCAGGTTTGTTATAAAAAAAATTTCTCGCAACATTATTTGTGATTTATTTTCAATTTGATAAACGACTAACCTTTAGTCAATTTATCTAGTTGCTGCTGCAGTGTAATCGATGCGTTATATGTACGAAAAACTTTAGCAGTCAATCCTGGCATCAAGCTTTGTAAATATTTATTCAATGATGCAGTCTGTAACACAAATTTTGATAGGCTAGAAACATCAGACCGATAAAAACGAACTGAATTATGAACCACTATTCTTCTTCTATTTAGGAAATTTATAGCTAATTGAAAAAAGTCTCGCAAGTTTTTAACAGTAATGAACGGCACATCTTCAATTACATCTTGTAGCAATCATTTTAAGTGAAGCGACAGATGGTGAAAATATTCTCCAATTTTCAGAAATAAATTGAAACTGATAGATAAATGTTTCACTTTCCCAAAATAATCAATAATAAAATTCCACACTACATGAGTAAAACGAAGAAAAAGGAAACATGTTACTGCAATTAACTCAACATAGATAAACTGAATATGTTCGAGAGAACTTACATCAAGGCGATCGAAGAGGTCGTCGTTACCGCTTTTATTTTCCATGAAAAGTTTCAAATTTTTAAAAACTCGCTTTTCCACCGGAACTTTGTTATAATATCGAATACTGTCTTTACCAAGAAAGTCAAATTCAACCACATAACTAAAAATTCGCATTTCAACCTTCTATAGATTTAATTAACAACAAAAACCTCACAAATAAAGCAAAACCGCTGCTAAATCATATTCAGATATTCAAAATCTTCGCATCTCTCTTTAACATTATGTGGAGGATTGAGAGCTGATTATATAACCTACTCATTATCGTCCAACTTTTCATGAAGTTGAATGTGTTCGCATCGCAGTGAACAACAACCAACAGTATCTGCTGCTTCATCCACATCTTTTTCATTACCAGCACGAAGCGCTAACTAAAATTTGCATTTACAAGCAAAAAAAAATCCTACTGAATACACAAAACTAGAAAAATTACATGCCTTATCAATGAAATAAAGTGCCACTGCTCGCTGTCGTACGCGCATCTCTTTACTTTTCAAATCTTTAGTATAATTTTCCCGAATATTTCCAACAATGTCCTTTAATCGTCTTGCAGTTTCAAATTTTTCGTAATCTTTCTCACCCTGAAAATTGAATATTGATTCTTCATAAACTGTTCCGAAATTTTCAAATCCTATCATCTATAAAAAAATTTTATTGTCATTATATCTCTTCTCCTTTGCTGATTAATAAAAGTCTCTTATAAGATTCGAACCAAATTTTCGGTAGAATCACAAACATTACCTTGATTTTTGACGATGGATTTAACATAATATATTTGATTGAACCTAAAATATTGTCGGTCCACGAACACAACCATGTCACTGTATTATCATGACGCACTTCTTTCCAGCGGTGACCTTCAGGGGGTTTTGGTATTTCTGAATCCCTGTAATAAATACCCAAAAATTGCAAAAATCTGAAATTCAGTTACAGGTACAATAGCTTTAGAACATTTCTTAACCCTACTTATGATTACAACACAGAGTAAATGAGCTTAATGAATAATGAACGCTGTTATATTTAATCGTAATTAGTGTGTTTGGAAAGTATTTAAGTTACAATTATTATCGCTCGAAACGTGATAATATTAGGAAGAGTTCAGTCACATGATGAAAAGCAGTTAGCTGACAGATCGCGAATACTAAAAAGAAAAGAGAATCTTTGATCGATTCCACAGAACCTAAAAAAAAAAATTACTTTGAACAATTAATAATCACATCCTCTGGATTGACTCGTCTCTTTAAACGACCCATTTTAGGATGACCACCACGTCCACGAAACAAATCTGGAGGTTCAATTCGAAAGTTTCCTATTTTCTGTTTATGTCCATCAATATATGCAACACCATACATTTTTGCTTCCTCTTGTTTAACCTAAACATAAAAATCAGTGATATAGTCATTCTGACCAGAAAATTATTTTTCCTTTTTATTTTCTTAAACCGAACCTCCTTAAGTTTTTGTTTCTCTTCCTTACTCAAAGACCTTCGCTCTTCTCTTAGCTTTACATAATGACTATGCATTTCTCGGAAATCACATTTCGTCAAATCTGTAATTTTTTCGCGTTCTGAAGGAGTCATCACCTGAAATCAGAAGTGGTATACTTCAAAAAATTCAAAATGTAAAAATATCTGTCAAATTTGTGTATTTGCATTAAGCAATAAGAGTGCAAACCTTCCTCCAGTCCATAAAAAAATTTTTATTGAAAGTTTCCTTCGTTGTATATTCATGTTCCAATATCTTTGCATAAAAGGATGCAACTTCCTCCGTCAATGGTGCCAATTTCATTATCTGTAATAAGCATGTTAATCAGCAAAACTTCAATTTGGTATGAACAATGATATCATTTCATTGTTCAACAAACCAATTAATAATCTTTATTTACCTTTCCGTCATATTTGAAATGAACCGATTCAGGAAGTGGTACGTAAGGTGGGGCAAAAATGGGTCCTTTGTGGGATAAACTGTACCATTTGATGCCACTTGGTTTCTTTTCCTCTTCCCACCTAAAAAAATAGTGCTAAAAGCCAGTTTTTCTAAATCGCGACACTATTTTATCATTCATAAAATTGCAATATTCACAACAAATCTAATAAATTTTAAATTTAAGTAGCTAAAAAAAAACCATTTCCAAACTTCCTCCTCTTCTTCCTCTCGCCTTTTCCGCTTATTTGATGTAATACCATTGGTTTTTTCACTCTTGATATGAGTTTTCTCGGAATTCAAAGAAGTTGAGGCTTTCTTCCTTTCACTTGAATTTTTGCGTTTCGCTTTTTTCTTCTGTAATTAATTGAACAAATTAAACAATTTCTAACAAATTCACAATATTTAAATCTTAAACCTACATGAGCACTATAGCTAACCTCCAGTTTATAATCTTCATCGTCTGATTCACTTTTTTTCCTTTTCTTAGTCAGTGTGGCAGCTCGCACGCTCAATGGTACATCGTCATCGCTTTCCACTTCTGCTTTAATCACTTTTTTTGTCGATAAAGAGGTGGATGACGACGGCAGTGGCTTTTTCATGCGACTGCTCGATGAAGCAGCCAATGTCTCCTTAAATAACGCTTTCTGTGGCTGAAAATTGGCAACTATTACAACACATAATGCATACTTTGTCTCTTAGTAATATCAAAAGCTCTAAAAAAACAAGAAACCGCTAAAGTTATGTAAAAAAAATGATAAAGATATTTAATAGCTTCCAGCACTAAAGAAATATAAGAAGAAATGAAAAAAATAATAACCTTAGCCTTTTGTGACAACGGCACATCATCATCATCATCATCATCATCATCACCACCATTATCATCATCATTATGTTCATTTTTCATGATTTTCAATTTTTTAGCAAGTGGTAGATCATCGTCTTCGATAATTATTTGCGCTTTTCGTGACAATGGAACATCGTCGTCATTGGACATGTCCATCTTTTTCAATTCATTCAGCGTTCCAACACATGTTCTGCAAAAGAAAAAAAAGCACTAAAGACGACAGGAAAAAGGACATTTAAAAGAATCACAAATACAAACCGATGGAAGACAAAAACAAATCAATTCCATTTTTTTTCTTCTATAGTACTATAACTAATTATCAAATCAGTACTTGAAAATTATCTTAACCCAACTACATTTATCTCTAAATTTATAATTGTTATTGACAAAAATGCAGAGATTTTGATAAATATTCACAAAATTTTACCTGATATAATTCATTTTCAGTCACGCTTTCAACATCACAAAATTAATTCTATTTATATTGAAAAATTTGATTGATGGAAATGTACATTTAGCAAAATATTAACCTTTCACCATTTGAATTCGAATTTTGTACTGCAGATGCAATTGCGGCCATAGCTAAAACATTCTACAAATGACCATTAATCATGGTTTTAAACAAAATTATCAGTAAATATATGCAACGAGCTATAAAATTAATTCACTCAGAAGCGCAGATGAACGAGCGATTTCTTATCGTTTCATATATCGTTATTTCATTTAAGAAGAATATTTACTATGAAATTAATAAAAGCCAGAAATTGAAATCGTTCTAACTACGCGCTCCAATCCAACATTTCTTTCTTTCGTTGTCTTGTTGTCTTTTTTTTAATATCTGTGAAATTCAAACGAATGAAGTAATTCAATGTATCTCCGATATTTTCTTTGCTAATCGAAAGTAATAATGTAATTAAATTTCATATTTTCTTCAGAGATCGGACTGCTATAAAAAATAAGAAACGGAAAGGATCCTTCAATAAATTAGAATTCTACCTACTTCGCATATCATTTCTTATGGCACTTGTTTCATAAAATTCACTGACTCTAACAACACAAATTTGCTTTCTTTTTTTCCTCAATTCCGTGTAATGGCTTTTTTTCTAGTCGACAAGAAGCGCTTTCATCTTGCTGACAAAAGCGCCTACTGGTTGAGAATTTTTTGCGTACACTTTTTTTATTACTCATAGCATAAGAACAAATCAAAACTATCCCTAAGTGGTCACCTCGCAAAAAAAAACGATTGCTTAGGACTGTGTCATAAGCCTGAATTAAATTACATCGTCCAGTTCTGATTCTCTTCTCGTTTCTGTTTCTTTCCGTTTTAGTTAGTATGCGGAAAAAGCTGCGGAAAGATGAAACGAGCGAGCCGTGAATCTTTATACGATCCTTGCAAATCAATTTCCGGAACAAATAACAGAAATGATTTACTAAGATAATTTCACAATCGATTATATCCTTTCCTCTTCTACCTTCATCACTTTCCCCTATTTTAACCTATTAGAGAGTCCGATCAGTGATCTTCTCCTCCCTGACAACTGATCAGACTCTCTAGTAAAATCATTTATCTTACGAAATTTCCTACAGAGTTCCATTGATTATGAAATTTCCTACAGATTAACGGAGAGTGAAAATGTGAAATATGGCGTATGTTCTACAGTTTTTCCAGAAGCACAAAATTTTAGAAAATTTATGAACAGCAATAATTCATATGAAAACAAGGAAATTTCTCACCAGCAGTTCCCGTGGAAAAACGTAACAAAGTCGATCAATAAATTGACAAACTATTCATGACTGGTAAAATCGATGAATTTTTTTGGAATTTTATGTAACCTGCAAGAATCAATAATTTGAACTTAACAGAATTTACCATGAACTCTCATGACCTCACGTATACACTTCTAGAAGCATGCATTCTATTCTCGTATTGTTGGTACAAAAACTAAGTTCATGAGTAAATTGGAAGATAGCCTCTGCAGAGAGAGGGAGAGAGAGTTTCTCGTCATCCTGCTATTGATCGTCAGCCAATGATGAGTTGTTCATTGCAATGGATTACGGTAACTTGGCAATCAACCAACATTTTGAATTACAACAAGCTAAGTATTTATGAGGTTAGCTTAGGTATTACGGTTGGTATTATGCTTGCTTACAGCCATTTCTGTCTCTCCGCTACTTTGGTTACACTCTCCTGTCCACTCATTTCGTTACTATCGGTCACTATGAAGTGATAGTGTGATATTTGTGAACGCTTGTGTCATTCATTTATCAAAATAAAGGAATGATGTTTAGCTAATAGGTATAAGATGACATGAGATTGTTAGTGTAGTAAGCTCACTACTACATCATACAATCGTCTCAACTAGCCAGATAATTTAAGTCATTCAATAATGACCATTTATTGCGAAAATTTTATATTTAGATATAAATCTAAAAAAAAAATAACTACCGTTTTGTGATCCAATTAATGCTGCAAGGAAGAATAGTGTGTAATTCGATGGAACATTATTTCATTTCAGTTGTTAGGCATGAAATCGTGCTATTCTACTCTTGTAATGTTCTGCAATAAACAACATTCTCCAGCAGGAATATTACATCTGTTCGATCGATCATTGTAGATGATGATTCGATTATACACAGTCAGTTTGTAGAAGCTTTATGATATACACTCCGGTACGCTTTGACAACACTTAACTACGATCATTACCCATCTTATGGATATTCCCTGATAGAATCTCATGAGAGATTAGGTTGAGATTGGAATATATTTCAGATTAATAATTGTCATGATTAATAAATTGCAATATATTATGTGTCATTTAGTCAATCAAAATAGACTAAACAAAGGATGATATTTGGTGCTTGAATTTCTTTAAATTGGCTGTTTATGCGATATAATTTTTGCTACTTTAGAAAACTGAATTTTTTAGGTGAGCTTTTCACTACTTTTGAACTCAATTGATAAATTACCGTTGTTAGCATCTTATCAGTTCCACAAAATTAGCAAATTGTGTTGTACATATCAAGTTAGGATTACTGTTTATAAAATTCTTATGTGTTTATGTTTAGTCTATACAAAATCAGTATTCAGTGCGTCTTTAAATCCACGTTTGTTATTAATATTACACGCTATTAGTGTAACTTTAAAAAAATATCAAATTTAAGATTTTCATCTATTGAATTATTCATTTTCAAATATTTAGAAATTCACTAATCTCATTTAGCAGTGAAATAGTAGTTGTATGGTAAAGTTATGAATTATGCTTATTGAGGCGAGAATAAATCTAACGTAAAATGTATGGAATTGAGCGAAAAAATTATGTCTAACATTCTAATATTACGCCACTGTCAAAGATAATTTTTAGCTTAATTTTTGCAATTGCTTTTGTTGGTAAAGATTTTACTACTGGAAACTTTAGTATGGAAAGTTGGGATTTAGAATACTACCAATTTATAGAAAAGCGAAAATGCCGCGAACAAACGTATGTTCAGAAATAACAATAGCTAATATTCGATTGTCAATACGTCAGGTAGTTGCTGAATTTTGCGCTAGCCCAGAACGAACTATTGAACGCATCGTAAATGGTCAGCTTGAGTAAGTTATTTACAAAAAATTGGACTTGACTTTTATTTTGATTCAGCCTGCGATTTTATGCCTGATTATTCTAATTTATAGTGACAATAAAGAACAGCAGCTTTTCTTAACTGATAATATCTGGCGTAATAGTCATCACTGTCTCATTTAACTGAAAAGTTTTAGAAATATGGTTGAACCAATTCAGCGGCTTGTCGCAGCTCATCTCGAACGTATATATGAACAACTACAGGCAAATAATGAAGATTCTGATTTTTGATTTTGACAGAGTGCATTACTTATAGTTATTTCTGGAAGTAATCTGAGCTAATATCTTATCTGAGGTATATGATTTGGAAAAATTTTGAAAAAGCTGCTATATTTCAAATAGCGATAAAGAATACCATTGTCTGTTCTGTAGTCTTCATGTCAGTTTGTTTATATGTTTCAGTGCATCATATTGTCACCCTCAAACGAACCACCCGCATTGGAGTCTGTATTGAGGTTTTTGAGCGAGCATAATGACGAATCGGAAAGAGATATAGTCCAACGTTTTGGTATATTTTATATATATTTATAAATTAAGAAAGCTGAGCTTCAAATTAGGTTGTCTTCAATAACCTGAAAAGAAGAGCTTCTTCTTCCGTCCTGAATGTTATGCATTAAAAAATTCAGAGTCTTGAGTTTGAAAACAGTCACAGTTTCAAAGTCTGCTGTATCTCACTTTTAAAAAAATGACCTATATTCCATTTCTTTTAGTTCTCATTCGTACCCTGTGACGTAGGCTAGAACATTTTCTGATTAAAAATGGCACGTGTATTTTTTTATTCAAAATTGTATAGATACTTTCTTAATTCATATTATAATTCAAAGTATTAATGTTTCATATTTCTCTATGGTTTATTAGCATGTCTTTTATCATCTAAAGTATATTGAATATGAATCATTGTTGCGTTAATATTGTTCTTGCAGTAATCTTTTCTTTTTTCTAGAAAAAGGTGTTTCAACACAAGGATATATGCATGATGAATGGCAAAAATTTAGAGCTTCATCTCTAATGTCAATTAATCCAGCACCCGTAACTGTTGATATCCCACGTTTGGAGAATCTTATGAATAGTGATTCATCGAGGTTAGCAAATCGTAATGTATTTGGAAACTTTCATGTTATTTTATTGTAAATGATTTCTTTATTTATAGGGATAGTATTAGTAACAAGCATCAAAAATCGACAAAAAATATGCAGAATTCAAATTTATTTCCTGTCTTAAAAAGTACTTGTTCAACCATGTCGTCTACATCAAATGACTCGTCCTTATCGTCGGGTGGCTCACTGCTGCTGGCAGTTCAGAATAACGAAAGCAGCAGAGAAAAACCGATCTTATCTGAAAGAAAGGTATATGCTTTCTTTCTGAACTTTCGTAACAACGTATTTCGTTTCTTCGGTCGATTGATGACACTAACGGAGGATTAAATGCTTTAATTCGGAAGATAATAATTTTTTTACTCTTTCTTAGATTGTTCTTTTAAATCATATGCTCTTAAATCGAAATAGAGCTAATCAATAGAACCATTGTCAGCAAGATTTTTTCTAATAATATGTGAATTTGGTATTCATTATAGTTAAATTTTTAAGAACGCTTCTGATTTTTTAGTCAAGTGCCATTTCTTCACGCAATGTTACTGAACGATCATCCCAATACATGAAAAGTAATAGGGATGCAAATGTGAATGACGAAATTTTGGTGGAAATTAGGAAAACAGCTGATGATTCGCTTCCTGTTGTTTTGGAAAAAGAATTTATACCCAGTGTTCCATCGCTAGAAGAAGCAACTGTATATCCGTTAACAAATGTTGGTCTTCATATTACTTTTAATATTTTTTTTTAAAGTAAAATTTATTACTTGATGTTTGCTTCTCAGTTTTTCCTTATTTTGAATGAACGTTGAAGCTATAGCTATGCTACCTCTTGGATTACTATTTAGATGTATACGGTACGAGCATCCTTTTTGCTGTCCACTGTGATAAAACTCATCACATAATGTTTTCTTGTTTATGGCGCTGCGGAGTTTCAAGTTGTAAGATTTTATGCGATAGAAGTTTCACTATTGGAATCTTTCACAATGTAGAATGAGTTATCGGTTTCTCCTAATTTCAGGTTAAAAAAAATATACCAGCTAGTTTATGCTCATCACTACGTTCAGATGACGACAAAGTGACGGTGCGATATATGCCAGCAAAAATTTCCACGACAGACGTAGCAGTTTCCACTGATCCTGTATTTATGGATCATCAATTAGTAGAAAAAATTGAAGTGGGCGTCAACACTATTGCAGAAATGGCTAGCAACACAGCGGATGGTAGTTCAAGTTCAAACACAGCCTCTGATAATAGCGCTGGACAGCTACCAAAGCGATTGTTTGACACTGTTTTGCAAAGGTTGATTTGTGCTGAAGCAAAATTAGGCTTTTTTATTAATGAGTATTTCTTATCTTCTAAATGGTTTTTGCTGATCTATGCTTATTTTTAATTAAAATTTTCAAAAAAAGTGCTAAAGAATACAGTCCTAAAGTACTTTTTTGTAGGCCTTCGTTAAGAATTGTGTCACTGCGACCGGACGGAAGTATCGTTCCCACAGGTAATTCATCGTTACGATGTTCCCCCAGTGTCAGAGAATGGACGCCCGTAACCAGTGGAGGAAATTCAGAAAAATCACTTATAGCTTTAGGAGAGATTCGTGAGATGGCTAGCGAATCTAACCTAAATCATTCGGAATACAATGGAATGCGGAAATCAGGTAGCAGATTTTTTTCATCTAACAAGTGATTTTTCAATTAATTTACTTTTCATAAATTCGGCTTTAGATTCGATCTTTATTGATACATTGGTAAGGTCTTTTCTGGTTTATACGAGCGTTTTCAGTTCCAGTTCCATACTGTTCTATCAAATTATAGATTATAAATTTTTCTGTTGCTACAAACATTTTTCTTGCTTTAGATAGTGTCGCAGCATCAGCATCAGGACTTGATCCCTTCGAGGAAGATTTAAATACTCTTGCGAATATTTCACCGCTTCCACATTCTTAACATATTTCTTGTGCAGTTGTAAATTTTTGTATATTATTGATGGCTTTGTCAGAGCACTCAATTTTTTCACTTTTTTTTGTTCTCTAATTTCCATACTCTGCATTTGTTACTAATTCTGCAATTCCAGTTTTTAATTGAAAAAGCAAAAAGTGGAAAGGGATAAAGTTTAAGGAGAGAGGAGAGAAGTATAAACGAGGAGGAAAGAAGACTAGAAATATATGTTTTTCGTGACACTTGGAGAAATCACTTCGAACTTGTCATGACTAAGAGATGGTAAACAAACTAGTATAGCATCTGTTCATTTGTCGAAAAAACTAGCAGCCGAGGAGGAAACCCTTAGAGAACTAACCCATTCGTTTATTCACCATGCTGCTTCCCATTTTGATCAACAACTGGTTTGAAAACATAGAGAAAGAGTGAGTATTGCTTTCGTCACAGCGGCTTCCTCTTTACACGTTTTTCTTCTAGACTGATATTCTCTTTCGATATCCGTACACTTTCTGTTATTCTGTCCTATTTTGAACTGATGCTTTGAATAATTATATAAGGAATGAAATTTTATATTTTAGATATTAAATTCATACTGATGGAAATTGAGTTGATTTTTCTTTTCCTACTAATTTTTCTGTTTTCTTAATTATATTTCCGTCAATTTATGGAAATAAGTTGACTTTTCCTTTCCCATTCACTTTTCTATTTTCTTGTTTACATTTCTGTCAGTTAGTGGAAATTGAATTGACTTTTCCTTTTTGTTAAATAAAAACTTTATTTGTACATTTGCATACACTACTCCTCATCCGAATAAACAGCAGTAAATTTTAATGAGCAGCTTAATGAGGTGATGTGTCTCATTAACTACAATATTTTGCTTTCTTTATTATAATTGTATTGTATAGTAGGAGCAATCAGAAGTTTGATTGTAGGTAATGGTTTTGAAATCCAATTAGAAAAATATCATTTGGCTGGAGTCTTTTCATAATGACTCTATCTGGCTAATAACTAACACAGATGGTGTCCCATCTTATAAAGACTCGAAAAAGAGAAGGTGAGTATTTCGATTCAAGTCCTTAAACTGGTACGTCTTTTTTCTGTTTGACTTCAATAGCTCTTGAAAATTTCAGTTGTGAGGATTTTCTGTTCAAGTTTCGGAAAAAGAATAAGAGCGGAATTTAGTTGGAAAGGATTAAGTGGTTTCAGAAATAGAACAGAAATGAGTACATGTGTACATGTATGTTTGTATCTGAAGTTATTTAATAAGCATTGCAGAGAGGTTTTGGGCGCTTGTTAAATCTTTTCTAAATAAAAGTCGTTGATACGCTATGAGTATCTGTAATCTTTCCAGGTAATCTTTGCAATGTAATCTTTCTAGATAATTTGTGTATAATAATTTTCTTCCATTTTCGTGCACACTTTAGCCAATCGATTTCTAGAACATTAGTTTAAATATTTCAAATTAATTGGTCTTTTTCTTCGTTATATTACATATATAATATATTATCAACGACAGGGGATTTTTATTTGTTATTTGAAATGTCTTTCGAATTTTTTATTATTGTTGAAATATTATTATTGATACGATCTTAATGGTTTATCGTTCTCTTTTAAAACCGGTGAATTAACATTGAACATTGAACTTGAACTTATTAAGTTGTCACCAAGGTTAGTAGAAATGGCTTTAGAATTCATATGACTACAAAATTATAATTCTATGCTTTTCTAGTCCTTATATGAATAAAAGGGCTACTGGGGATGAAAAGTATGAGCCGACGCGATATGAACATGTTGCAAATATCCTCTCTCACGGAGTAAGTTAACTTTTCCAAATTTTAAATTTTACTTGGAAACTCCATCACTAATGGAGTTGAAGGCGAAAGCTTCTGCTGATCATTTTGAGTGCAGCTTAGTCAGTCTTTTAGAAAAGTCAAGTTAAATAACTGAAGTCTTTGTTTCCTCTGCCTCAGGGTATGTTCCTTGAGAAAATGCATCTCGACAGCAACTGCTAGTAATAACTAAAAAGGAATTGAAATTCCTTCTACTATTTTTGTTTTTTTTTTCAGTTCGTTTATTTCTAAATTTTTTATGTTATTATTTTTTTATCATTAGTTTCAAGGTACGAGACCATTCAAAATCTTTGCATACTATCTTCGCTGTTTTCGTAAATTTTCTCAGCAATTTAATTGTTCAGGTAGCAATACTTCTTAGTATATATGGAACGCAGTGGTTAATCGATGCGTCACATCATGAATTAGAACGACATGTGACCATAATTTATTGTTTTTTCACTACGGTATATTTTTGGATATCTATTAATTCGTATTAAAGATTAATCTAATTCAGCTGATTCTACATTTCTGCAAAGATCGTTCTTCCTAATTTCTACGTAATTTCGAATTGTTTCAGATACTTTTCACAACATCAACAACTTATCACACATGTGAACTTCTTTTTCGCCCGAATAAAAAGTATGTTGTTTTAATGAAAGTTGTAATAAATTGATATAAATTAGCAATATTGGACCTGAATTATCCTCTTTTTACAAATATTTGTGATTTCTTTATTCTCTTCATGTGAATAATTTTGATTTTTTTCGAATTTGGTTTTTTTTTCCAGGAAATTCCGTTATTGCCTTCACATAATCGATCGTGCCGCCATCTACTTTTTTATTGCTGCTTCATATATGCCATGGTTCACGTTAAGACACTCTGAATCTTCAGGGATTATTTTCAAATGGCTTGTTTGGCTGTTTGCTCTTTTGGGTACCATTTATCAGTGTATGTTCCATGAAAGGTAGATTTAAGTCCTTTTACTGCTGCATAGCATTTTAATCATTTCATTTAAACATTCCCTTCTCATATTCTCGTATTTTCTCTATTTAGCTTTTATTTATGACTTAAAAGAAAATTTTCAAAATCTTGGGAAATTCACTAAAGTTAATGTTATTGGAGTGGAAGTAACTCTTTTCCACTACGGTATATTTTTTTGAGCATCAGTTTCAGATTCAAAACGGTGGAAACTTTCTTGTATATTGTCTTTGCTGTCATACCTTTTGGTGCTGTATGCAGTACGGTACGTTGCATTTCTTTTTAAGATATATAAAAAAACGAATTTATTTAATAATTAATGAACTTTGTCAAATTTTAGAGCGATTTAAGTGATATGATTTTAATGCTGGCTGCTGGTATTGTTTACATGATAGGCGTTATTTTTTTTAAATCAGATGGGATCATACCTTTTGCGCATACATTTTGGCATCTTCATGTTGTTGTTGGTAAGTCTGTTACATGCAGCCTTCTAAATAATATTTGTATGATTAATTAACAATGGAGCAAAAATTTAAATGAAAATTGCAATATGTGTGTGATATTATTGTGTTTATTGGTAGCAAACTGTTTCAATGCTAAGTTACATTCAAACGTTTGTATGAACCTCACTAATATTTTGATGATATAGTTAGATAGAGAACATTTGACTGTGTGGATCGTCATTAATTTTTTAAAAAGTAATTTCCTGAGAGACAAAGATTTCATTTTAGGTGCATCATTACATTGGTATGCCATTTACAGCACGCTTCTTGGGCCAAATAATGAAGAATTCAAACAGGAATAGAACAGTAAAAAATTATTAAAATACGTTTTAAAGGCGCAGTATTATTTAAGTGTAACGGGTGATTGCTGATCTCAATTTATTTAGCATTCGATTATTGACGGATAATGATTGTTCCCACGGTTCTGCATAAATAACATACATATTTGTGATTTTGTGTTCTCTTTTTTGTAGAAAGTGTATTGTATAAATCAAGTATTGTATAAACTAGTATTGTATAAATTAAGTATATTAAATATTTTATCAAGACATTAAATATCAATATATTCATCTCATGTATCGATATAATTGTAATTTTGTATATTGGAACGATTATCTAAACTGTTTGCCACTTTTTCTCATCTTTTGTGTTCTAATATTTCGAGCAGTTTTAGTATTGTACGGGATATGCTTAACAGGATTTAGTGAAGAGAAATCCGGTGCATTTTTAGATTGTGGTTCCTTTTGAAATGGGTTTCTTTTATGATTGTGCTTTAGCTTTGTTTTGAATAAATCTTACTATGATATTGTCTATTAGTTCACACAATTTTTTTTTATTATTTAAAAGCGACGAAGTGATTAATAATGAAGCAAAATTAAAAAGAACTACAATTACATGAAGTACAACCTGCTTAGATGCGCTATTTTCCAACACTGAAAGCATTTGCCTTTTTCGATATCGCTAACAAAAAAAATACAGGAATTTCATATTAAAGAAATCTTTAGAGTTTCCGTTTTGAAGTTTCAAAGTTTTCATTTTGAAATAACGCTTAATAATTTGTACTGTTGTTTAATTTGCAGCATTAATTCCATAACCAGTTCATATTAAAAAAAAAAAGATATGAAATTTGGAACAAAACTGTTTGCTATAGTTTTCTCACAGTAATGCACGGTTAATTCAATTTACAAATGTGAATTACGGTAAGCAATTCTTAACTGTATGCAAATATGATATATTATGAGAAGTATGGAAGAATGAATTTCAAACTGTAATTGGCGGATCGCCTTGAAAGGACAAAAAGTTATTTGAACTGCGATAACGGTTATTCTTAACTTGATTTTTTTTTTCCTTTAAATATAAAAATTCATGAATATCCATTCTCTATTTCTTTTTTGAATGAATTTTTCTCGAAATCTTTGTTTGAAAAAAGTCTTTTTTTTGTTTCTTAGAGAGAATTTCGATAGTGCTTCCTTAACATCATTGTAAAACGTTTGAAAATATGACCGAAAAATGACCTTGGAACGGGTGAATGATTATCGCAGTTCGTTCCTATCAATAAATAGGTATCTCTATACTTCCTCAATTGTTTCCAATTTATTATTTTGAATTTTATTGAAATTCTTTTCATCATTCAAATTCATATGCCACATTTTCATTTCAGATCCATTGTTTTCCTCATTTTACAACACATTAATTTAAAAATTTCAAACCTTGTTGTCTAAAAATGTATAATTTGGTCGGAAATTTTGAATTTTATTGAAATTCTTTTTATCATTCGAATTTGCATGCCAATTCTCATGATATATATGTATATTTTTCCTAAGGAAATATGAATTTTTTTTGAATAAATTGTGATTTTTCAAGCTCTTTACTCTCTAAACTTGAAAAAAAAAAACTAAGATTTTGTAGTAGCTGCTTCAGCCTTCTTTCTTATCTTGACAATTTGATCAAAAAAAAAATACAGGACATTTTCAGGAATTTTTTTTTGATGTAAAGTTAAATCTTACAAAATCACTTAGAGCACAAATAGAATGAAACTTTTGCTTTTTTCTTCATCTCTTATAATATTTTCTTTAGCTTTTCGCTTATTTACTATTCCTAATATGAATGGTTTCGAAATTAAATTTGTTTGAATATATTGCTCTATTTTGTTGTTTAATTAATGATGAAAGATTTTTTTATTTAAATATTATTGAAATTTCGATTTTATGCTCCATTTTGTTTCACCAATTCTTTTTCACACTTCAATACTATTTACTTGTTTTTTCTTTTCTTTTCCTTTTTTTTTTGACATTTATCTTAAAATTTCTTTCTTGAAGTAAATTACTATTAGTACAATATAAAATCATCACTGTACTAATTTGTCGATTTGATATAGATTAATACTGACGCAATTAAATTAAAAGTGAAGTGTGAGACAGTAAGTGAACTATCTGCTCATTTAAATGACTTCAATTTTTGCATACATTTTATATTTACGGTTATTAGACAAACGTAATAAAGTTTTTTAAAACTAATTTGAAGTGTTAAACATGAAAGGGAGTAAGGCGGAACGTGAAAGTATAGCGAGACGAGGAGAATAATTAAAATTTGACGTGAAAAGATTCGTCGTATTTTAGCATTATTAATGGAATAAACTTCAGGCAGTATTTGTCCAATCAATATTTCAAGTGAATTAATTAATTGATAGATTTAATGAATATAAAAGCTTTATAAATGGGTTCCATTCAACGTTAAAGGTAAAAGTTGAACAGATTTTCCGATGAAATAATAAAAAAAAGTTCCAATAAAATTCATTTCTAGATAGATTAGCTTTAAAAAATGATGGAATCGATTCATATTGATAATTTCACTTTTTTCATGAAAAAATTTGGAAAAAACAAAAAAATTCATATTGATAATTTCACTTTTTTTATTAAAAAATTTGGTAATATCTATTGAATGTTGATGTAGAAAGAAAAATTAACATACTTCTAAAGAAGAGATAAACTATGAAATGGAAACATTACTGATGACAATTTGATGAAAATTTATCAAAAAAATAATCCCATATTTTTATATGATTTATATCAATTTATAAATTAAATTCAATTATAACTATCTTCCAATTTATAATTGATTTAAATGATTTTAAGGATTGCTAACAAATAGATAAAAAGTATATGTTAATTTTGCAGATGTTTATTGTTTGCTTTATTATGCACTTTCTACGAGCGGCGACGTTTTTTTTTTTCATTTTTATTTCTCATTTTTTCATTTCTCCAAAAATCATTTTGACGATATGCAAACGATGAAGAAGGAAAAAGAAATGAATTTATTTCATTTCTCATAGTGAAGGTCACAAAAAAAAGGAAATTTTTGCCCGTCCATTCAATTAATCTCGAAAAAAGCCGACTTTTTCATTTTTCCATTCGCTGCGCAAATCAATCCCACACGATGGATTAAATTGTAATTGTATATCTCTCTGACTGAAATGAATCAAGTATGATTGTTCCCCATTTTCAACCCACTAATATTTTTAGAGTTTAATTTATTATCAAATTTATTTTTTGTTAGAAATAAATTTGACAATAAACAATAAAATCGACAATAAAATTTGACAATAAAAATAAATTTGATTCGAATCAAGTTATTTTTAGTGTTTTCACTGTAAATAATTCATAATGTTAGCTGCTTTGTCCTCTTATTGATATAAGAAAGATTAAAAATAAATTTATTTGGTCTTTCTGTTTTTGCACTTCTTTTCTTTCTTTTTTTGGAGTACAAAAATTAAACATTTGAAAATTTGATAAATGCTCAATATTAATTGTTTGCACAATTTAAATGGCAATGATAAAAGGGAGAGAGAGAGAGAGAGAGAGAGAGAAAGAAGGAGGGAGGAAATATGTCACATTTTTTTAATGCAAGAAATGAGAAAGTTTATTGCTTATTCTTACGAAGACCTTTTAAAGTTTTTTTAAGTGATCAAACATTTGCGCTTACTCATCCGATCGGCTAATTTATTCATTGGACAGTGGAAATTAAATGAAAGGCGCATTGGAATAAAATTATTTTTTAACAGTTCCACATCAATCTTTTTCTTCAAAAAATGTTAAAATAATATCAGAAAGAGTTTTGATGTCATTTACATTCAATGTTACTTTGGCGTTTTAATTACTTTTCCATAAATGTAACAAAAACTTTCGCTTTATTTTCTCAAATTTTCATGACAAAATTAAAAATAAGAAAATCAGCAAACCCGTTTCATCATACTATATTACCAATTCTTGTAACTTCATTTATCAATAATTTAATAAATATTTTGAAAAAGAAATATTACTTATTTCTAGCATTTCATATCACATGAATAGATGTGAAAGATATGATGATGATAATGATAATAATTATTCTAAATTTTCCGTATCATTTATTCCTATGTTATATTTCCAGTTCGGTTCCACTAAGACACACTCATTCATTCATCTTTTATTTTAATTTCAATCGTTTCATTGATATTATAAATAAACACATACATATATTTTTTGAAAATATACAAAATAAAAAGAATTATTATAATGATTTATTTATGATTCAAAATTTAGCAAGCAAAAAAATTAATGCCAGAAAAAAACTTGTTTGATAGTATAATATTTGTTGAACAGAAACCTTCTTCGTTATCATATTCTATCATCAATTTTTTTTTTTTTGAAACATCAGCAACAATAACATACAAAAATTTCATTCATATATTATCAGCACATCAGATAACATTCCAGAAGCGCTAATGTCATCATATTTAGCGTAATTCAAACAACACAATCAGGTAATATTCCGAAGTGCTAATGTCATCATATCTATAATCATTGTAATATCACTGATGTCTACAATCAGATAATATCATCATACTTACAATCAGGTAACATTCCGGAAGCGCTAATATCATCATATTCAATGTAATTCAAACAATACAAGCAATTATCAGATCTTTCTGTATGTATCATTTAAAAAAACAAGTCTTTCATAAAAAAAGAAGCCATCATAATTGTTGAAAAAAAAAGACCAGGAAAAAGCCTGATTGCATGAAGGCTTTTTTTTCCCCAACAACTATTATTAAATCTTTTTTCTTCTTCCATTAAATGTGGCCTACAAATTTTAGCATTGAGTGAAAGAGAGATGATAAAAAGTATCGCAGCAAAATGAGAAGAAATATCGGGTGGCCGGTATTGGAAGAAAGTAGTAAAAAATATCCCTAGCAAATGATGATCTCCATTATTTATTACATTTTTTTGTCTTTCTATCCCTCTCTCTCTCTCTCTCTCTCTCTTTCTCTTTTTCTTTTTCTTTCCTTTTCTCTTTCTTTCTCTTCATCGATTATTTATTTGATTCATTGGGATACTGCGCGCATTTTCAATACCATTTGAAAAGTCGTTTTTTTTTTTTGCCTTATTGATAAGCTGTTTAAAAATGATCTTTTAAATATGCTTCCATACATTTAAATATTTGAGGGGTTGGATGGAAGATGGTATTATTTCATTTCTGATCAGTAAGCGCATATTTTGATCATTTTAATCATTGCGCCATCTGTTGCTGTCGTTATTGAATTATATATATTGAATTATCTGTCTTGAATAATCGTATTGAATTATTCTGAATTATCTGTAACTTATCCTCTATCGCTTTTTTTAGTGAAAAGCCTAATTAATTATTATTGGAAAAAAAAAGAATAAATTATGGAATTTAATGCTACTATGGAGCGTTATGAAACAGGTTAAGTTAATTTTTATTTTACGTTTGTATCATTTATAACGTTTGCGAAATGAATTTTTAAAAATTTTATGATATTTCAAATTTACACTTAATCATAATTTTATCAAATTTAATAAAGTGAGGATTGCTTTTTGAATTTAGCTTACATTTCTAAGCATACACTTTTCAAGAAGCTCACTTAGCTAAATCGAGCGGTTCTTTTAAAAGTAGAGTTATGCATTGTTACTCATCAATTAGAACAATGTGATAATGATGCATATCGATTAATGTTTCGTTGATATCTGAGAAGAAATAATTTTAAAATTTTACAACAAAAAAAATTTTTTTTAATTGAATTTTCTAGGGATGCATGATTAAACGAACTTTTTTTTAAATTTAAAAATTAAATTTCAGGAGGTGATAATTTTGGACAACATCAACATTTTAGCTCAGCAACTATTGCTATACGTGCTCAAAAAAAGATTCTTTCCAAAATTATTTCAAGGAATAATGTGAAGCTATTTGTGGATGATACAACTATTCGTTTATTCGATCATCTTTATCAAATTCTCAAGACAGCATACAATAAAACGATCGCTGAGAAGGTAAATTAATTTCCATAATTTGTTCACAATTTTTAATTCAAAAATTTCATTGCTCTTAAAGTAATACAAAAATAGGATGAGTCATTTTTTTCCGGAACTATTAAGCGCAAACAAGAAAACATATAGTTATCATATATTGATTGATTGAATGATTGATTAAGAAAAACTGATCTAAACTGCAATCAAAAAATAAATTCAATGGAATAATTTGATAATTTGCAAAGGGAATGAAAATTTTGAGTATACCGCAATATTAAAGTAATGAATATTTAAAAAAAAAAAAAAAAAACATACGAACACAATAACATTGAATTTATCTACAGGTGGTGAAAAATATTATCAAACTTATTGTCAAGTTAGGTGTAGTAATGCGAAATGAGCAACTTACCATGGAACAACAAAATCAACTTGCAAAAATTCAACGACAAATGCGCCAACTTTGTCTTACAGTTATTTCATTTGGTAAAGTAGCATTCTCATATGATTATGCATATTTGAATGCATTACTCAAGGAAACCTATCGTCGTTTACTACCACTAATTGAACAGATCCTTAGTGGCAAATCCAAACAACGCTTAGATATGATTTTTGAACATCTATGTAAGGTAAATTTCTCATCTTTCATATTAGTAATTTTGTTAATCCCTATAAAAAATGAGATGTATAATGCTTGAAGTGAAATAATATAAATGAAGCAATTCCATTTGTTAACTGTTATGAAATAATAAATTGTTGATAAGTTTATTAAATAGTTCGGAAATTATGATGAGTGATTGCTACAGTTGAATTTCTCGTTTAACAGAATTCGGTGTTGGATTCACTCTTTCGTGTAGATGGCGAGCACTGGAAGCTTCTTCCGAATGTTGTAACGGATCTCGAAGTACTCATTGACACAAAAGAATTGTAATTTGAAAAGTGGGCAATTACCTGGAATTACAATATATATATATATATGTTCATGCACGAAAAACAGGTCATATCTCATTTTGTAATGCATTTATACTTTTCATATCTAAATGTTGCTGTTATGAATTAAATGAGAATACTGAAAAGCATATCTAGGATGCAATTTTTTGATTTAAACTTTCATAATTTCAATCCTTTTTTTTGTATTTTTAAAATTTAAATGGGAATTTCCAGAGAAGCTGCAAGAAAAATACATTCATATCCCGAATATGCTACATTTTAATGTAATATTTTTATTATGTTAATTTAGCATTTTCTTTTATGTGAAATCAGCAAACTGAGCCAGGTTAAAAATAGCATGAACAACTTTGATTATGATTTCATTTCTTAAAATTAGTTAGATTAGTTAAGCTATTTTCAAATAATAAGCTCAACCACAAACTTGTCATCCTTCTCAATGTTTTCTTATGATTTCTACCTTTGTTATATCTTTTAATGTATGCTCAAATATTTCATCTTCAGACAGTTGAACTATTTTTCATTCAGTCATCGTTTTATTTCATTATTTCAAAGTTACACATAAATTATTTAGCAAAATTCTTAGTCAAATATGCAACAATAAATTATAATTTCAAGGAATTTCAGAACTGTTAGGCAATATGCTATGAAAAAACATTAAAGAAAGGATTGCTGATGAATCAACGATTGTTTAAAGTTCTCTCTCCTGTTTTTCTCTGTTTTATTACGAAAATTCTCATTAAATCTACCAATCAAACACAATGAATTCTTTTTTTGCTCTTCATGACGAGGAAAATCCTTATTATGAGATACAGAAAAATCGTGAGCAAATGCTTTATTCAAATTTTGAGCAACTTCGCAATCTCAAATATCTTACGAAATAAGATTTTTTTGTCTTTTCCCGAAGATAGCTAATAATGCTAAAATAACCTTTATTTTGTAATTAGAACAATAACAGGAAGTGCTAAACAATAACAATAACAGGAGGCTTCAAATTACGCTAAAGCCAAATCACACAGCTAAGCAGGACTTGGAAAAATATGTTAAAAATTATCTTTTCTAAATCAAAGAAGATAGAAGATATAATGCTCTTTAAAATTAACAAAATTAAACTTGAATTTTTTCTAGCTATGCAAATATAACTTGTACAGAGAAATAATTGTATAGGTAAAATATTAAAGAAACAAATCAAAAAAAAAACCTAAAAAGTGATGCCAACAAATCTTCAACTAAGAAAAAAAATGAGTTACTGTAGCTGCATTTTTTTCCTACAATAAAAGAATGAGGAATGAAACGAAGTTAGGATCTGCTGGAATTGTTACAGACTTTTACTTGAGACAGCATCTTATTCATTTTATCAAAGATAAGGAATAAATGAATTGGAGAGTTTTACCTTTGAAATGTTACAAAGTTAAATTACCATTTCAAACAAGTGCAATTATGACAGTAAAAATCCGACATAATCTTTATTGGATGACAAATGTAGATATTTTGTTCATTTTATCAAAGGTAAGAAATAATAGCGCATTTTTATATTAAAGCAATGCATCATTTTTTTGTTAGCGACATTTTTATCGCTAGTTGATGAAATTTATTGCTAATTAATAGGTCACTTTGAAGAGTTGTTTGCAGAGAGAAGATTTTTCATACACAAAAAATACATTCAAAATAGCAAACCTAAATTTTAAGCCCCATAGGTAACAATTCTAGCAGCTCCTAATTTCGTTTCAGTTCCCATTCTTTTACTGTAGAAAAAAAATGCCGCTATAATAAATCATTTTTTCTTAGCTGATAAATTCCATCCATGAAACTCTCATTCCTAAGGTCTGATAGGAAAGTAGTCATCCAAGTGATAAATACCAGTGACATTCATGAAACCTTTTTTCCTAATAAGAAAGTTTTTTTTCTTCATAAATAACGAAGTAAATGCAATTCGATTGTTGGTCAAAAGATTTGGATAAAAAAGCGAAACAAAAATCATTCACCAATTAGTTTTTAATACACGCAACCTTTTTCAGATTGAATTAGATTATAGAATCTGAAAGTTAATAGGGTAATATCTTTCATCCACCTTTCTTATAAACGATACTTTTCATTGTTTATCACAAAAATGAATTAAACATCAAAAAATTTTTCAGCATAAATCAAATTTGTAAAGATTAACATCATTAGATTGTGAGGTTCTGTGGAAAACATTTGTCATCTTTTTTAATACTTCGATAATTTCTTCTTTTCGTTTTTAAACTTTCACTGAAAACACAATATTGTGTGAATGAAGATATTCGTTGTTCCTTCTTATCGTTCTTCCCTTCTGACATAAAGGAATTGATTCGAAGGAAATCTTATTAACGATCAAAATATTAGCGCAAGAAAATAAATAAGCATACTTGTTTGAAAATAACTTCAACATAATTGTCATGACCACACGGTAA